GGCTCAGTAGGTGAACACGATGCCGTCCTGCACCCGGTTCTTCTGGTCCTGCGCCACGCACTCGGCAATCCACATGATGTTGCGGACCTCCTGTTCCCTGCAGGAGGGGCGGGAAGGGGAGGGAGAGGCGAGCCCGGCGGGCAGGGCAGGGGACGACCGATTGAGCGGGCATCAGCAAACCAGTAAAATGAGCCAGGAGGCATGCGGCATGGCGATGTGGCAGCAGGCGCCTGGCCGCCCGCAACCAACCAGCCCAGCTGACATCAAGGCACCCGACGCCCACTCCCCCACCGCGACGCACCTGAGGCGCATGTATGCGTAGAACACCCCATAGTGGAACTGCTGCTCGTATGTGTTCATCAGCTGCCGCACCTCCTCCTCATACAGAATCTTGTCCAGCATCTGCGTCTCGCCCAGGCCCAGCTGCAACAGGGCACAGGAGAGGCGGCGGGGGGGTCAGCAGGAAGGGAAGACGCAGCCGCGGGCTGTGTGTTGGCAAGCAAGGAGGCTGGGCAGGAGGGGACGTGCGCTCCAGGCTGCGCCGAGGCCTCACCCTGCTGAAGATGGCCTGGTAGGGCGGGCACTTCTCCATGGCCGACCGTATCTGGTCAAAGTCCTCGGCCACCGCCAGCTCAGCCTGCACAGCACAGCGCGGCACAGCGCGACCCACACAGTGAGTGAAAAGAGTCGGCACACCCCGAGCGCGCAGCAGCAAGCGGGCGGCTGCCGCCAACCCCCGCGCAGCAGGTGCAGGCACGGCGGCGCCCCAGGCGCAAGCAGCCCGCCCAGGGAAGCAGCCGCCCAGCCAGCTGCCGCCCCCAGCTGCACCCAACCCGGCCGCCCAAGCGCGCACCTGGCCGTGCGGGTAGAGCAGGCCAAAGTTGGCGTACAGCTTGCGGCGGTCGTCGCGGGTCAGCTCGGTGCCGATGGAGTTGAGGGTGATGTTGAGGGCGCGGCGGTCGGCCTGCACGCGCGGCAGGGCGGCAGCAGCCGCCGGCGTGAGAGGCAGGCGGGGCACGTGCGCAGGGCAGGCTGCAGCTTTCGCGGGTGGCTCCCCACAAATGTGGCTGCCCCCCCCCAGGCTTGCCCATCCACGCGCCCGCACGCCATTGCGGGAGCCTCCCAGCCAGCCGGCCACCACCCCCAGCCGCGCCTGCCACCCTCAGCCACCCCCCCAGCCATGCCCACCTCGAAGGACAGCATCTCCCCCATCACCTCCCCCGTGGTGCCGCCAATGCGGTGCACAAAGGAGGCAAAGTCGTCGAGGTACGCCTTGTACAGCGTGTTGCGCATCACCTGCGGGTGGGGGCAGCGCATGCGGGTGTGGAGGGTGGGGGTGGACGGCGGCGTGAGCGGCACGAAGGCGCGTCAACAGCCGCAAGCAGCAGCCAGCCCCAAGCTGCCTCCCACCGCCGCACACACCATGCAAGACCCCTGCTCGCACCCACGGGCAGCCCTGCTGGGAGCTGTGCCCCTTCACCGCCACCACCGCTGGCCCCACCTCTCTCGCCCCCTGCCCACCCCACACCTCCCAACCCACACCTCACACGCTCACACGCCCCTGACCGCAGGCCTGCGGGCCGCCCACCTCGATGTTCATTTCGTCCAGGTCTTCGTGGGTAAGGTTGTCGGAGAAGTAGGGGGCCAAGGGGGTGTCCACCAGCACCAGGCGGTACAGGTCGCGCATGTTCTGCGCCACCGCCAGGCTGGCAATGGCGTCAAACATGCCCAGCGGGTTGCACTTCTCCAGCAGCTCCTGTTGGGGCAGGGGAGCAGGGGAGGGCGGGCGGGGAGGGCGGGGGTGAGGGGGTGGAGCGAAGGGAGGGGTGGCAGGTGATGGCAGCCACGAGGGGCAGCACCGGCTGCCTTCCCAGCAGCAGCCCAGGGCTGCCCCGCTGCCTGCCCGCCAATCCAGCCGATTGCCCAGCCCGGCCCTCGGCCAGCCAGCCAGCCAGCCAGCCGTGGATGGCAACCCCTGTTGGGCGCACACCCCCTCTCGAGCCACCCGCTGCCCACCTGCACGTCCCGCTCATGCAGCGTGCCGGTGACTATCAGCACCACATTGTCAATCATGTGGCCGTAGGTGCAGTAGTCCAGGAACCGACCCATGGGCTCCCCCGCCTGCAGGCACAGGCACATGTGCAGGCAGGAGCACGCACAGTCGGTGCATGCTGCAGCAGCAGAGAGGGCATCCCTACGCTCAGCCGCAGTCACCCTAGGGTGTGCTGCCCTGCACGGGACCCAGCTGCCGCCCCCATATGTCCTCACGCACGTTCTCCCGCAGGTACCGCCAGTCCGCCACCAGCTTGCGGGTGCAGCAGTCCACCAGCGTGGTGGTGTGCATGGGGGAGGCCTCGTTGGCCAGGAAGGGGCCGTAGTCGGTGCCCGTCTGTGGCGGGCAGAAAACCGCACGGCGGGGAGGGCGGCACGCGGTGAGCGGAGCGGCAAGGAAGGCCTTCAACACGCAGCGGGCAAGCACCCAGGCACAGACCAGTCGCAGCGCTGCAGCCTGCTGGGGGCCAAGCAACAAGACAGGCATGGCCCTGCTGTGCGGGCGCCCAACTGCAGCACGCTTTGCTGCCGCCGCCGTGCGACGCACCAGGTAGAGCTTTATATCCTCCAGCGTCTCGCACTGGCACAGGTTGTTATAATCTGATGTGGTCAACAGCCCCAGCTTGTAGCCCCGCACTACTGCCTCTGCGCGGCGGAACAGGAAGATTGCACGCTGGCTCAGCAGGCGCGCAGCAGGCGGCCGGCCAGGTCGGCCTGGTGCGTGGCGAAGCGCCAAACTGGGGCCTCACCTAGGAAGCCATCCTTCACATTGAAGAGGCACATCTCCGATGTGTCCTCGCCGAACGCTGCAGGGAGCAGCACAAGGAGCAGCAGCGCGGGAAGTGAGGAGGAGTGGCAAGGTTGCAAGGGTTGTGGGTAGGGCGGCGCCGGGAGGCGGGCGGTGGGGAGGCGCAGCTGGGTGTCCTGCGCCTGCAAGACGCTCCCACCGCCGCCCCTGCTGCTGTCCTTGACTGCCCCGGCAGCCTGACGCGAGGGAGGGCCCAGGGGCTCGGGCAGCAGGGCTTTGGGTGCGCAAACGCGGCGGTGCGGTGCGCGGCCCAGAACACTCACACATGGCGCCGGCTTGGAGTCACGGGGACAGGCGGGGACTCCGCAGGGCTGGGGGTTTCCTTGCCGGCGATCGCAGGGGCAGGGTGGGAAGACCAGGCAGGCAGCGGCTGGTGGGCTGTGAGGAAGGTGCAAGGAGCAGGGTTCTGCCGCGATCGTGGAAGTTGAGCAAAAGTGAGACAGGTCACTCCAGCTGGACGAATTCCCTCCGCGTCTTGGAAGCGCTCTCGCCTCAATTTTTCAGCATTACTCAATTGTGTCGTGGGTTTCAGTGCACCCCTCCGCATTGACGCCCGTCTTCCGCCCACCCTGCGTTACAACGTTTGACGGAGCAGCAGCACGCCCGGAGGACCATGAGGGACACGCTGGCGCTCAGCGCCAACCGGCTGCGCGTTCAGGCAAGCCAATTGACGCCAGCTGACCCCCGCCAGACAGCGCCGGGGACTGGCGCCGCCGAGCGGCGGCGCCTCAAGGCACGGAACACGGCAGCCTTCTGCCAGCTGCAGACCCTGCAACCCCTGCTTGCACACAGGCCATTCTCGTGTCCAGCATCTCGCTGTTGGCGGCCTCTGCCCTGCCCATCGTCTCGTACATCTATGTCTACCGCCATGCAACGGCCGCGCTGGGGCCCTTTGCATGGACGCACTGGGCCGTCTGTGGCGTAGCCTGCTCGCTGGGCATTGTGGCGCACAGCATGAGCAATAGAGGTGTGGGGGATTGAAAGTGGGGGCGACCGGCCTGTTGCTAGGCTTTCTGAACCGAGTCTAACCCTGGCTGTTGACGTGCCTGCCTGCAGTGCTGCTGGCGCTGCACGCCGCCCTGTGCTGCATGCTGGGCGCAGCGTTGGGTGGCTTTGACACCGCCTTCTGGTACCAGCTCACCAATCGGTGAGCTGCTTCTTTCATCCAACTTCGCAACCTGCGCTCGGCACTGTTGCCGCTGTTTGTCGGCCGCAATGCCGGATCAGCTCATGGGCACGTGACAAAAACTGCCATGCACTGTGGTGTCGCCTGCCGCCTGCCTCCTGTTCCTTGCAGGTGCCAGACACTGCAGGCGGTGTTCCAAGGCTGCCAGCAGTGCACCTGCGCCGCCACCAACACCTGCGCCGCTGCCAACTTCCAGACAGACGCAAACTGCCAGAGGTCAGGCATGCAAGCTGCACTAACCGCGCCGGTTTTGTGGGTGTGCATCACAATGTGTGCCACTGCATGGAACTCCTGTGTGCAGCTGCACAGCCTACCCGACGGAGGCGTGCGATCCAGCCCTGCAGGAGGCGCAGAAGCTTGTGATCGCATTCACGGTGTGTGGGGTGTCGAGCGGCTGGCATGGCGGTGATGATGAGCATGTCTGTTTGGCTGCATGGCAGCAACTGGCGGCATGAGCTGCTGCGCCGCTGCAGGGCCTGTCCGCAGTCGTCTTCCTCGCGCTTCCCACCTTTTACAGCCTGCTGGTGCTGGCCCGCCTGGAGGCCAGCGCCGCCGTGACAGGTGCGCAGCCTGAACTGAAAGGACATCGCGCCATGCACACGCCAGCTTGCGGCTGCTGCTCCAGCTGTGGTTCGGTCCCGTTACCTGTGAGCCGCAATGTGCCGCTGCAGCCGCCAGGCGGCAGATGGTGAGCTTTGCCGTTGACTCACAGACCACGATGGTCGAATCCAACGAGAAGCCCAGCGTGACCCCAGCCATGCTGGCTGCCTGGGTGTCGTTCCTGCTGGGCACCGCAGACCCAGACAGTGTGGCCATCGCCGACAGGGTGCGCCTTGCAGCATGTCATCCCCGACGCAGAAGCCTGTGCATGGAGCACAGCAGAATGCTGCTGTGGGTTGTGCTTCAGTGCCTGTCCAGCCACTCACACATTTGCTCCAGCCTGCTCGCCCGCTTGCAGTGCCGCTCTGTGCTGTCGGCACGTGGCTTTGAGCTTGACATCAAGCCGACAAGTTCCAAAAGGAAGGAAAAGGGCAAGGGCAAGGGGCGGCCTGGCAAGCGCGCCGGTGGCAGCAAGGAGGTCAGTGCAATTGCCCTCCAAGCTAGTGGGCTTCCTTCCAGATATGGCAGTTAGCAACTGCTGCAGTTACTGACCTCCCGCTTTCACCCTCCCTCGGCTGCTGCACAGCTGGTTGCTGACTCGAGCAGCGCAGGCATGGCACAGGAGGCGGAGGCGTATGAGGCGGCCGAGTCTGGTGCTGGCGGCAGCAGCTCCAGGCCGGCAAGGAGCGCGCAGGTGGGGGCTGTTGGCCGGGATGTTGTTGAACAACATGAGTGTGGTGTGTGGTATCCAGCGTGTGCGACTTTCTGTTACTGCTGTTGTATGCAGGTGGTAGCTGACCGGCGGGTGCAGTTTGTGGTTAAGTGACCAGAGCCGTAACAGAGTTTGCAGCACCGGAGGCGGTTGGTGTGCTGCAGCTGGAGCCTTTCAAGGCGGATTTGCACTACGGAGCAGGTGCTGGGCAAGACAGAGCAGGCCAGCGGGCAGGTGGGCAGATTTCGTGCATGACCGACAGCGCTGGTGTCGGGCATGCAAGGGTGGAACAATGGCATACCAACGGCTAACTTATCGCATATTACATACATGTTTTCTTGGGGGGTGACTGACATTGACAACAGACCACGTAGCTCCCCTTGGAGCGTTGGGCAGCACTGGGTGCCGGAACGCGGCTGTGCTGCCATGGCGTTTGACTGGATTGCCAGAGGCTGGAATTCTGTGCCCTTATGTGTAATGGAGTCAAGCATCAGATTCATGAGGAGTGCGTAGCATTGATGGTTGGAGGTGCCGCATCGCTGGCGCCGCCCCGCTGGCCAGTACCAAAACGCTGAACCATTCACCACCCATTCAAACCTCTCGTTTCACCGTTTGTGGGTGGCGCGGTCGTTCCTGAAGCCTGCCTGACAGAATGGGTGCGCAGTCGAAGCAGCGGCGAACGCTGGGCTACCGCCTGGCCAACAGCGTGGTGCACTCGTTCACCAAGCTGATCCGTCTGATTGATGGAAGCGGAAGGAAACTTTACGGCTGGTAATTCACTGCTCAGTTGTGGCGTTGGTGCATCTGTGCGGCCTGCGGAGTCTCCTGCGCACGCGGAGCGGCAGCCAACTCCACCTAGCCGGCATGTGGTGCTCGGGAGGCGGCCTGCAAGCGCCGCTGGAGGCTGCCGACCTGTTCACTTCTCCTCCGCCGGCAGCCGCCGCTCTGGGTGCGCCGTGTGCCCCCACGGTAACCCTCGCACGGTTTGGCTTGCCCACCCTGCACCTGCAGGGACCCGTACCTAATGGGCCACTGGGAGCCGGTGCACACCGAGGTGCATGCCCAGGACCTGGAGGTGGTGGAAGGGGAGCTCCCTGCGGACCTGGCCGGGGCGTTTGTGCGGACGGGGCCCAACCCGAAGCTGACGCCCGAGGGCGGCTACCACCTGTTCGACGGAGACGGCATGATCCACGCCGTCAGGATTGGCGGCGGCAAGGCCGCGTACTGCAACCGCTGGGTGCAGACCGCGCGGCTGGCGCAGGAGGAGAAGGCGGGCTGGCCCGTGGCGGTGAAGAGTGAGTGCCCTGCTCTGCGGCGGCCAGGAAGCAGACGTGCCAGGCCGCCCCCCTGCCTCCTTGCTGCCGCCGCCAAGCCGACAGGTGCATGCCTGTCCCCGTGTTGCGGCGCAGTCGGCGACTACCGCGGCCTCGTCTCTCTGGCCTACATGCTGGCAAGCAAGCTGGCCAGGGTGCTTGGTGTGCTGTCCAGCAAGGTACGGCTGTGGCTTGGGCTGCCACTAACAGCGGGGTCAGCAGGATCGCCACCGCCCCGCTCTTGAGCCACTGCCGCAGCATGTCCCCCAGCGCGCCCGCCAGCTGCAAACCGGCCGGCTTCTTCTGGTGGTGCCGTGCGCCGAGCAGGAGGGGCTGGGCACCGCCAACACGGCGCTGGCCTACCATGCGGGGCGGGTGCTGGCGCTGCACGAGGGCGACCTGCCGTACGGCCTGAGGATTGCGTGCAATGGCCTGGTGGAGACTGTGGAGCGTGCCACTTACGAGTGAGGGTGGGGGTGGGTGGGGCGGGGCGCAGCACCGCCGACAGAGCGCCTCATTTCGCTCCCCTCCTGCGGATGCTTGCCCACGCTGCCTGCACGGACTGCTCGCATGTGCCGGCTGGTAGCGCCGATGCCCGCACCTGAAGCCAACAGCCCCGTGCGTGCTGCCTGCCTGCTTGCCTGCCCCTGTGCAGCGGCAAGATCACCCACCCCTTCACAGCGCACCCCAAGGTGGATGCACAGACGGGGGAGCTCTTCTACTTTGGGTACAGCATCGAGCAGAAGCCGCACTGTGAGCGTCCCTGCGGCAGCTCCTTTGCGCCTCGCTTTGCCGTGGCTGGTGGACACGCGCCTGTGCAGCGGCGCGGCCGTGCAGTAGACCACTGTGTGCGGCCTTGACCCCTCGCTGCACCCGCCTCCCCCCCCCTGCAGGCTGGTACGGTTGGCTGGATGCGTCGGGCCGCGTGGTGCGCGACTTTCCAGTGCCGCTGGGGGAGCCCATCATGATGCACGACATGGCCCTCACCCAGAACCACGTGCTGCTGCTCGACGTGCCGCTGGTGTTCGACCCCAAGGTGGGTGATGCTCATGGCTGGGGAAACTGCTGCCGTGCTGCTGGGTGTAGGGAGCTCGGGTGGTGTCAGCAGTGGGAGCGGTGCTGGGCTTGAATGCTTGTCTGCCTGCCTTCCTGCGAGGCTGCTGACCGGCGGCGCTGGGGCTGGCTGCCTGCGGCTGTGGCGCTGCCCGCAGGTGATGGTGCAGAAGGGCCAGCTGCCGTTTGAGTTCAAGGACCGCCCCGCCCGCATCGGCGTGCTGCCGCGCTACGCCAAGTCTGCGGATGAGATCCGCTGGTTCTCCACGGGTGAGGGCTGCGTGTGATTTGTGTGTGTGTGTGTTTGTGTGTGTTGGGGGGGCGGGGGGGGGTGGACTGATCAGGGGCGGGCGGGCTAGGAAGCGAGAGCTTGTGAAGCTCTGGCCCTGGAGGCTAGCAGGTGTGGGAGGAGGTCACCCACGCGTTGTCTCGTCGTACGTGATGTGCGTGCAGAGCGGTTCATGTGCTTCCACACTGCGGCGGCCTGGGAGGAGGGCTCCACGATCCGCCTCTACCTCTGCACCATGAAGTCGTTCAGGTGGGCTCTGGGCTGGCACCCGCCTTCTCTTCTTGCACAATGCCTGGCTGGCGCACGAGCTGCCACATGCGTTGCGCCTGGCCCAAAATGCCTTGTTCCGCGTGCGAGCAGCTCCACCCTCTGCCTACCCATGCTGTTGCCGCCCATCGCCCGCTTCTGCCCCTGGCAGCCTGGACAACTTCACTGCCAGCGAGGATGCCGAGCCGCACCTGTCAGAGGTGGTACTGGACCTGGAGGCGGGCACCACCACCTACCGCCGCCTGCCGGGCGCCCGCCCCGGCGACTTCCCCGTCATCCCCGCCCAGCTCACAGGTGGGCTGCGGTTTAATGTAATCAGAGTGAGAGTGCGCGTCAGAGGCGGAATAAAACACGTCTGTCATAAACTCGGGGGCTTGCGTGACCCCTTTGCCCTGCCCACCCGGCCCCACCAAACAGCAGCCGCCAGCCGGCAAGCGGTGTGGTACTGCCACCACCCAACTGCACTGCTTCCCACACTGCCGCGCTGCCGCCGCCGCCTGGTGTGTGGTGCGTGCAGGCCGGCCCGCGCGGTACACGTATGTGGCGACCATGGAGGCCAACGACACGGGGGTGCCCGCCTTCATCGGCATCACCAAGTATGATCTGCAGGCGGGGGCCGGCAGCGCCGTGGCGGGCCAGATCTTGCACGGCGGCTCGCGCCTGGGCGGGGAGGCCTTTTTCGTGCCCAGGCCGGGGTCTGCCGCGGAGGATGGCGGCTACCTGGTCACTATTGTGACGGACGAGCAGAGCCTGCAGAGCGAGCTGGTGGTGTACGATGCGGCCAGCATGTCCAGCCAGCCGGTGGCGCGCGTGCGCATGCCGCAGCGCGTGCCCAGCGGCTTCCACTGCACGTGGGTGCGCCAGGACCAGCTTGCGGCGCAGCTGCCATGATGGGCGGCACGCACAGGCGTGGTGCCGCTGCTGACATCAGCTACCGATACGGAGGTGCTGAAAACTCAAATGCTAGAAACAAATCCTTGGTTGATAACGACCCACAGCCTCATATTTAGTTGCCGCTTCTGCCCCACATTTCATCACCGCTGACTTTATTCTTCCTCCACATTTTGTTGTTTATTGTTGAATGTAGTTGTTCACATGATGATTGCTGCTGGACTGGTTGGGTGCGGGGCCACCGTGTGGCAACTTGCGGCTCAGCACAGTGCAACGCTGCCACATGCATGAGTATTTGGTGCTTCTTTTGGGAGAGATGGTGAAAGTAGCTTTCTGCCCTGGTCAGGTGTGTGCCTGCAGGCAAAACTCATAGCGGTGCAGTGGCGGCGGGGCGCGCTGGCGCCAGCGCAGCCCGCCATTGTAAACCCGTCCTCTCCGGTTGAATCTTTCGACGATCCCCAGGCCCTTTTGCCCACATGCTAGCTGCGCTGCGTCTCCCGCTGCAGCTCCCGCTTCGCAGAATCATCCGTCTCCGGCCGAGAGGACGAGCCATGGCGGGCTCCAGCGAAAACGGCAACGCAGCGGGCCTGGAGTACCCTGAGCCCCTTGTGCTGCAATCGCTGAAGCCCGAGCACAAGAGCACGCTAATTATGCTGCACGGCTTAGGCGAGGAGCCCCCGCCCCGCCGCTTGCAAATTGGACAGGCTGAGCTTTTGTTTGAGGTGGTTTGCGCACGAGTCGCCGGTGCAGGCGCCACATGGTATCTGTCTCCTCGCGCCGCTGGCGGCGCCACTCCTTGAAACCCCCACGCAGCTCTCGTTCTGATGCATTTGGCCCCGGCTGTGCTGCCGCAGGCGACACAGGCATGGGATGGGCAGACATTGGGCCGCTGCTGCAGCCCGACCTGCCCAACACGCAGTTTGTGTTCCCAACCGCCCCCGTGGTGAGCCCCCACGCAGCTTTCCGCAAGCCGCCGCACCACGTCCTCTGTTGCCACCGTTACCAACCTGGGGCCACTCTGCTAGTGGCCGAATTCAGCAGCGGCTTGAGATCCCCACTCTGCTGCATGCAGCGCTCGATCACGCTGAATGACGGCATGCGCATGACAGGTAGGCCTCGCCCGACTGTACCTCGGAACAACGTTTTTTGCTTTTACATGTAAAAAGTATCTATCAGGCCTGCAAAAAGCCTGCCTGCGAATCCCCTTTTTTGTGTTTAGGGTGGTATGACATTGCGGACCTTAATCGTCTTGGTGCCGACCAGGATGCCGAGTCAATGCGGGAAAGCAAACGGTGAGGCGCTGCGGCACAGCAGGCTGGCATTGACGGCACGGCGGCAACTGGGCGGCAGGCAGAATGCAGCGGGTGGCGCCCGAAGAAGGCTGCCTGGCGCGGCAGGGGCTGCGCTGCTGGCTGCGCCGCTGCGCCGCACTTGGCGCTGCTGCTCCTGCCAACACGCCTTCCACATCCCTGCTCCCTGTGCCGCCCGCAGCTACATTGAGCAGCTGGTGCAGCAGCAGGTGGATGCAGGCATCCCCTCCTCCTCCATCGTGATAGGCGGCTTCAGCCAGGGCGGCGCCATGGCCCTCCTCATGCTGCGCTCCAAGGTGTGTGGCGGCCGGGCTGGGGCTGATTCGGGGGCGGGCCTGGCAGCAGGAGACACGCTGCCTGTGCACACGTCCCAGCCAGCCCACGTCCCAGCCAGCCCACGTCTCCAGCCAGGGATCGATCGTCCGACGGTTGTTGGATGCCGCTGCGGGCCGTTGTCTCATACGCCGGCTGCACCATGCACCGCTCGCCCCTCCCAACTGCAGTTCAAGCTAGCAGGCATCATTGGTCTGTCCAGCTACATGCCGCTGCACGAGGAGCTGCCGCTCATCTCGGGTGAGGCGCCGCTTCTGCTGCCACCGCCGCTGCTGTGATGCATTTGCATTGTCTTCCCCGCCGACATTTCGGTGGGGGGGGCCTGGCTGGCTGCTGACTTCCGGTGCGTCATGCACCAACCGCCCTGCAGAGGAGAACCGGGACACCCCAGTGCTGATGTGCCACGGCGACTGTGATCAGGTGGTGCACTTCAAGTATGGCGAGGCCAGGTGCGTTACGCCGGTGCTGTTTTTTTTCTCATGCAGTGCTGAAACAGGGTACGTGGCAACAACTGGTCGCTTTGCGTGATGTAGGCCAGCCAAGCAGCCGAGGTGCCGATTTGCCTCCCCCCAAACGCCCCTTGTCCATGCAGCTACGAGTTGCTCAAGGAGGCGGGCGGGAAAGTGGCTTTTGATGTTTATGAGTTCATGGGTAGGTGGGACGGCCGGCACGGTGTGGATTGTATGGTTGGGTGAACCAGCTAGCTCCTTGCCTCTTGGGTGGGCCAGTCAGAGAAGTGCTATAGCAAGTGGCTGTTTGCCTCGCCGTCGAGTAGGCAGGCACACACCAGGGCCAGCGACAGGGCCTGCACCTGCTCACCTGCTTCTCCTGCAGGCCATGAGGCATGCCCAGAGGAGCTGCAGGCGGTCCGTAACTTCCTGCAAAGCTGCTTTGCTGTCAAGAAGCAGTGAGCGTCGCCAGCAGCATGGCGCCCGTGATCTGGCATCATATCTCTCGTTCATCAGCTGCACTCATATCTCTCGTTTTGTTGCTCCTTTCATGCTGCAATTTTTCACTACATAACCAACTTGTTTTTACTAACAAATCGGCCCGGGTGCTAGCTGTGGGCCGCCGCTGCATCACCGCGACATCACCACAGCACGGCGAATGGCATCCTGCATCGTCTGCATGATCGTTGAGACGTCCACGCACGCCTCCAGCAGTGTCTGCAGCCGTTGCTCCGGCGGCGCGGTGCGGTCGCGCCCCGTCAGTCCCAGCTCTGCCGCCGCCTCGCCCTCAAACAGTCGCACCATCAGCACATCCCCAGACCCCGCCACCGCCTCCACCGTGGCCACCATGTCTGCCACCGACAGCACGGCACCGTCCTTGGCCACCCGCAGCAGCGACATCTACAGCAAGTGGCATGGGCGGTGGTGCATAGAGTTGCCGGCAAGCTTGCATGGATTGCTTGCATGAATTGCTTGCTGTGGAGCTGCATGCATTGATTGCATGCATTGATCAAATTACACTGGGAACGCAGGCGCCTCTTCCACGAACAGCCTAAACCCACTTACCGAGAAGCCATCAGGCAGCACATCAGTCTTCAGCGGTAGAGCCAGCGGGAGGTTCCTCCCATTTGTAGTGAGCGTTGATGCCCACTGATACAGCTGCAGCAAGACAGAACAGTGATACATCAGCCTGCAAGTTTGCCGTGGATGGGAGTCGCGGCCACCTGGGTGCTGCCTGGCACCAGTGAATGTTCTGATAGCCCAAGCTGGCGGTTGCATGGGTAGTCTGCCAAGGCAAGCACGTGCCTGCTGGACAAAGGCCGCCCGATTGACGTCTGCAGGCAGGCGGGCGGTGGCGAGCTGGATAGAGTCGCGGGCGGCTGTCCCGCCCGCCGCCACCACTATGCTGCTTTGCCGCCTGGCCTGCTGCCCGCCTATGGCCGGAGGCTTGCGGATCCTCATCCGCACGTCTGATCGCATAGGCGGCTTGCAAGCGGCGCCGCGGGAGTGCGTATGTGGTTTCCCAATTACAGGGCAGCACGTCAAGGCCAAGTGCGCTGCCATTTTGTAGCCGATCGCCGGCAGCTCAATACAGTTTGTTTTGTGGACGACCCTTGAGTGAGACCAAGTGTTGCTTCTGCATGCTGCGCCCACCACAGCACGCCGCCTTTTTGCCGCCTCTTGAGAGAATTTTTCGCCTCATTAAAGAGCAGTGTTACTGACGGCAGAGCGGGTTGATCCATGCATTTCTGGGTTCGGGGTGTGACAATAAAATGCTTGGCTCGCCCGCACCAGTGTCCGACGCATCCGCCAAGCCGTCCTCCACCCAGAGAAGGAACAGGCTGGCAGGGAAAAATGGGGGGCCGGGGCTGCGGCGCTCTATGATACAGCTACTTGGCGGTGGCTCTTGTGATGGGCGGCATGAATGAAAGAAAGATGGCTGAATGCTCGTGCCTCACACCGCCACCGGCTCCTTCTTGACCTCCAGCAGGGCGGCCAGCGAGTCCATGTAGCAGTCGGGGTGGATGCTGTTTTCAGGGCTCAGCAGCTGCTCTTCTGTCGTCACGCCTGCAGGGCAAGATGAGCACACAACAGCATGAGGACCACTCGTTGGCCGCAAACTAGCAAAAAGGCTGTCCCGGCCTCCAGCGATAACAGCAGGCAGGTGGCGTTTGCAGCACGGCATCGCTCACCCGACAGGCACAGCATGGTGGTCAGGCCGCCGTTCTTTCCAAACAGGATGTCGGTGTCCAGCCGGTCGCCCACCATGCATATCTGCACGTCCGACAGCCGGGCAGGCACTGGGTCAGCCCCCAACAACGAGCAGCATCAGCAGAAGGGACCCCGGGTGCATGCGGGACCATATAGAAATAATAACGCGCATAGAAACACGCATAGAAACGCGCGCACCTGTTCGCGCCGCAGGCCAAACTTGTCGGCAATGTTTGCCAGCATGAACTCTGCGGGCTTGCCAACCACGGTCGGCTCACGCTTGGTGGAGCCTGCAGGCAGCAGAGGATGGGTGGGCTGGGGGGCATGCTTGGGGTAGGTGGGTGGGGTGCCGGCCACCGGTGTGGCTGAAGCGCGGAGTCATCCAGCATGTGAGAAGACACGGGGCTGCCAGGGCCGCGCAGCTCACCACGGATGGCGCCCACCATGCTGCCATTGCCCGCCCATTCCTGCGCGTCGGTCAGGTGCGTCACCGCGTCTGCAGGCAGACGGCAGGGGTGGGAGATGCGCGGGGATGAGCTGCATCGCCAATGCCAGGCCGCGAATCGACAAGCCTCCCTCGCAATGACCATACTGCGTGCGCTGCCCCGCCTGTCACAGCCGTCCAACCTGCTGCAGCCCCCGCCACAGCCGCGCACCCGTGTTGGTGGCAATGAACATGCAGCCGGGGTTCTCCCGGATGCACAGCGTGGCCATCTGTATCTTGTAGTAGTTGATGTTGCGGTCAAAGCCCACAACCACAGCGCCCACGTCGTGGTCATGCTCCAGCAGCATGCCTGGTGTCAGCTCCACGCGCTTGTCGGCGTCGGCGGGGCCGCCCAGGTGGCTGATGCCCTTCAGGTCCAGCTCCTCCTGCAGGTGGAGGGAGGGCAGGTGTCGCAGGCACCAGCAGGAGGTGGTGGGAAGAGAAACGAGGAAGCAGGAGGCCGGGGATACCAGACTTGCGTTGCACCATTCAGCCAGCAGCAGCAGCAGCTCAACCTGCCCCGCAGCACACCACTGTTGCCTGCGGCACAGGTGGCCTCACCTGGATGCCCACCTCCCCCACCACGTACACCTTCTTGTCCTTGGGGAACTGGATGCTCTCCAGGTACGCGGCGGCAGCATAGGAGGAGGAGTAGATCTCCTCCTGCACGCACCAAACAGGCAGGCGCAAGCCGCAGCGGTCAGCAGCAGCGGTGCAGCAAACCAAACGCAGCAGCACAGTGCAGCGCAGCACCACAACACCCTGAAGCAGCAGGCATTGCAGGCATAGCAAGCGCACAGCAAAACAAGAGGCAGCGCACCGCAGCCACGTTCAGGCCCAGGCTGGTGAATTTGTTGAGATATCCGGCGCGGCTCTTGGTGGAGTTGTTGGTCACAAACACCAGCTGCTTGCCCTGCACACCAGCGGCCGCGGGTGGATGCACGAGTTGAGCGCAACCGGCTAGGCACAAACGCCATGCACGATGCAAGTATGCCCCGTGCTGCGGTCTAACAAGCTCATACCAACCAAGCGCAATGCATTGCAGCATCCCTCATTGCCAAGCAGCAGCGGCGGCGCCACTCGCCATGCCGCGCAGCATGTCCAGCGTCTCGGGCACGCCGTCGATCACGCTGTCGCCACGCCAGATCACGCCATCGCAGTCGAAGATGAAGCAGTCCACTTTGTCCAGGATGGCCTTCTTGCCCTCCGCCGTCGCGCGCTGGGCTGCAGAGGGTGACAGCAGCAGCAGTGAGCGGGCAGCGGCAGCGCCGCCGGCGCCGGAGCCCAGTCTACCACTGCCAGCACGCTGGCTAGGCCCGGCCAAGCTTGTGACTTTCGGGCAGCAGCAAGGGAGAGGTGACAGGCGACGGCGGGACCCACGTTTCGTCGACGCCCCGTTGCCTGCTGCCTGGGCTGCCACACTCATTCTGAGCTGCCTACTCGCCGCTGCCCCCGCTTCCCGAGCCGGTGCTGGATTCCAAGCTGCCGGGCGGGTCACGCCACAATACTGCTGCCGGGCGGGTGCTGTTGAGGCTCTGCTGCTCACGAGCGAGCCGCTTGCCCTGGTCACTGCGCAGTTGACCATGGACGCGCGATCGGTGAGGCCCGGGATCCAATGCAGCAGCAAAGTTTGAGAAATGGGCACCAGCAAGCCGCTGCTAATGAGTGGCCGAGCCGCGCAGTACAAGCGGCAGAACGACGGCTCCTGCGCACCTGCGCTCTGACTCAGTTGCTGCTTGCGCAATTGTTTCAATTTGCCTGCTAGTTCCCCCCGCCCTCATAGCTCCAAGCTTCTGGCTCAGACACAAACGCCAAGCTTTTTTTTCTGGTGTTTTATTCGCCCCTGACCAACTGCCTGGATCACGTAGCGCCGGCCAGCGGCCACGATGGCGGAGGAGGAGAACACTGTGCGGGAGCCTCTCGACCTGATCAGGCTCTCGCTTGACGAGAAAGTGTATGTGAAGCTCAAGGGGGAGCGGGAGCTGCGCGGCAAGTTGCACGTAAGGCCAGGCCTCGACCGCCGCCACCACCTGCCTGCTTGCTAGAGACCCACCGCCCACTACCTTGTGCCAACGGCGTGCCTATGCAGGCATACGACCAGCACTTGAATATGATCCTTGGGGATGTAGAGGAGACGGTGACGTCGGTGGAAATTGACGAGGAGACGTTTGAGGAGATCATCAAGGCAAGCGAGGGCGACAGCAGTGTTTTGTTTCGTAGCCTACTAGATCGCCCTGTCGGATAGCCAACCCCGGCGTGGGACAGCCAATTCGGTGTGAGGCAGCACAGACGGCGGGCAGCTGAGCAGCGGCATGTGCGGGGGCCGCCTACCTCGTGATCATGCCTCCTTTGCCTCCTCTGCGCTTTCGTGCTGCAGACCAACAAGCGGATGGTCCCCTACCTCTTCGTGCGCGGTGATGGCGTAATCCTTGTCTCGCCACCACTGCGGTCATGACGGCCTAACTAACTTAATGCTTGATTTTCCTCTAGTTTCTGTTTCCCTGCCACTCATCCACCACCCTGGCCCTGCTGTCGGCTGCCTCTGCACCTTTGCAGCCCTTTTCCCACTGCATTCTGAGCGCTGGCTTCCATCCGCTGTGTAAATGGACACAAACTCAGCAAGCATAGTGCGCATGTGGGGGTATCAGTCTTGTGCCACCCATGCTGGACCACCGAAAGGGCCTGGGCGCTGCTTGCTGCCAAACGATGCAAGTTTGTTCAGAACCCTTCCAAGAAACATTACTAACTTACACAGTGTTGCAGTGCATCAAAATGTGTGTGAATCAGGAAAGACATGGGAGAGGTGGCACAGGGTGTTCAATGAAGACAAGACAGACTGTAAGTCTGTCTGTATGGAGAAGGCGATCCTGCTGTGCTGGCTGTGCGGACCGTCAAAGCTCGCTCACGTGCTTGCCCGCAATGAACTCAATCACCTGCGGGACGACGTGCTGCAGCGCATCTGCCGCCTTGTGCAGGTTCTCCAAGAACTCCTCCTGCAAGGGTGGGGTTGGGCAAACGGAGGGGTACACCCAAGGCCTGGCAGCAGGATGACAGGTGTGTCTGCCACGCTCCTGAAAGGCGCACTGCACGGTGCGCTGCCCATGCTCACATGCGCCGGCCGTTCGCCGTCCACGATGTCGGTCACGCTCTTGATGCAGAACACAGGGCAGCCAAAGAGGTCGGCGCTCCAGGCCACCGCCGCAGCCTCCATCTCCTGCAGTGCAGCCCCCGGCTGTGTCAACGGCATGGCAGCTGGCAAAATGCAACGCTGGCGCCGACAGCACAACTTTCTTCCTGCCCATTCAGCCCACCGCCCGCCCAGCCTGCTACACATGTGGGCTCGTGGCCTGCCCTGCTCGCAGCCCCACCTTGACCGCCGCCTCGTGCTGCACCATGCGCGCCATGTCCTCCGCTGTGTAGTCCAGGGAGTTGCCGCTGGTCACCACGCCTGCGGGCAGCAGGGAGGCAGCAGCCCCAGGTGGGCAAACCAAGACTTGGACAGATGGGGAGCCAGTTCAGGGGGCAGGCAGAAGGGGAATGGGACAGAAAGTCCACTGACGGTGCAGCAATGGTTGCACGCCCCGCGTACCTGACTTGAGGTTGAGCGCCTTTTGGAGGTGCGGGGTGGGGACGGCGTCAAAGGCGCCGACGCCATACTTTTCAAAGCCCTGCCAGGGAAGACGGAGGGCGTGGCATGCTAAGTGCAGGCAGTATTCAGTGGGTGACGCATGCAGAGGAGTGCCCATACCGGGATGGGGATGCGGCGGTCGTGGTTGACCATGCCTGTGCTGACAAAGACGTCGGCGATGGCGGCGCTCCGCGACCGAAACCCGCCAGCCGTGCCTGCACTGAGCCACCAGCCCAAGCACAGTGAGCTGCAGAATGGTGGAGGCAGTGCACAAGCCCACAGGGGATCCAGCGGCTTCGATGAAAGCGCGGCTATGGCAAGCAGGAAGGCAGCAGCCGCGACCGCGGCTGCTGGCGGCGTGCCTGCGCTGATGACGATGTCTGGCTTGAAGGCCTGGATGGCGAGGTAGGTGGTCAGCGCCGCCGGCACCGTGCCCACATTGTCCACGCCGGTGGCCTTGCACTTGCCTGCATCAGGTGGGCATGTACGCCAGGCAGCAACTCATGGAACGAGGCCTTCTCCGCCGACGACGCACATCATGTGATAGATAGAATCCCCACGACGCTGCTGGGCGCAACGCCTGTTTGTCAGCCAGTTGGCCAGTTTGGCGCAAGGGCAGTTGACGCAACATGGTGCGACACTCACCAAAGCAGACCACGTGAACCTGGGCACCGCCGTGCTCCCCCGAAAAACTGTGGCAGGGCGCTGGCGGCGGGACCACCGGCGGATCATCTGGCTGCAGCCCCAGCGCCTTCACCATGGGCATTGCCTCCGCCTCCATCGCTGCAGGCAGGGTATAGCGCACGCATGCAAAGATTGGGCAAGCAGGGGCGGGCGGCAGGAAGGCAGCGGGAGGGAACACTGTACCCCTGCTTGCATCGTCGCCTGCCACACCGAGCCGTTCACTCCTCCTGCAGCCTGTCTCACCCACAAGCAGCAAAATGGTGGAGATTGTGCTATCCCCGTGTGACTGCAGGTACTGCTCCTGCCGCGCCTCTGCTGCGTTGTCTGTAGCAGCACGGGGAGGTACAGATCAACCAACAGCATCCTTGCAAGAGCAGTGGGTGCCCCCACTCGCACATGCCTGTGCTGTAAGTCGTCACGACGTCTGCTTCGAGGCTGTCACGCTTCTTGCTAGCCTCTGCCATGGTCTCGAAGCAAGGAAAGCAATGCAGGGAGCGATGCAGAAGCTTGCTACGTGCACTTTCACAACGATGAGAGCCGCGGAGTGAAGGTTTCCTTGCAGTGTCTATTGTTGTGATTGAAGGGAGGGAGATGAGCGCGGCTGCATTCACGGTTTTTCATGGGGCGGCGACGTGGCGGCGACGTGGCGGGGCGGGCGGGCGCACCGGGTCTGTATGTGCTCCCTAGGAAGTCATATCTGCACAAAACATGCAGTGACATGTTTACAGCTCAAGGAGGCAGGGTCAGCAAGGGGAGTGTCGGCAGAACGACGGGGCAACAGCCTGGGGCAAGCGGGGACAGGTGGCGCAAATGTGCGTGGCAGCACGGACGACGGGCAAAGCAGTGTGTAATAAAACAACCGAAAGAAGTGGTATCGCTGCAGTCACGGGCAAGGGTGGGGGGAGCCAGATACCGGCATGATTTGCAATGCCGAGCGTGGAAGCAACAGGGCCCGCCCCAAGGCGCTCCTCTCTCGATGGCTCCCTAAACGTCGGCGGCCGCCATGACGGCAGCATCTGCGGAGGAGCGAGGCAGAAGCATCAGCAGCAGCCTGCACTCCCGCTACCGGCCACCAGGGAGTGCCCCCCTCAGCAGCAAGCCACGCCCACCTGGCTCACGCAGAGTGTCCCGGCCGTCTATGGACGCAAAGTCGCGCTTGCGGCCCAAATGGCCATTCCCGTCGCTGTCCTGCAGGGCGCAGCTCGCGCATACCAGTTCAGTTATGGTGCAGCCCTAGCCAACCTTGCAAAAATGAATGGCAGCAGATGCAGGCCACGGGAGCAGTGCCCCCACCCACCTCCTTTTGCGGCGCCGGCGAGCCTTCTACCAGAGCAGTCCCAGGCTGCTGCGGGGTGGCGCCAGCCGCGCACAGCAGCGTCGCATGCTCCGCCGCCGCCAGTTGTTGCTGAACGTCAAGCTTGACGTTCGACGGCTGCTGTGTACTGCTGGATGATGCTCCCACATTGTCCTGGCGGGATGAGGGGCGCAAGGCGCGCTCTGCTGGAATGGCCAGCAGCTTGGTTGCAGATCCAACTGGCTGCAGGTAGCAAGCAAACAGGAAGGGGGAGGGAGGAAAGGAGCGGTGAATCTCGGGTCAAGTCCAGCCACTGTCATGCGCTTTAACAGCCAGTGATGCGCGGCTTTCAGGCACGCTGTACTTTAATTACCTTGGCCTGCAGCTTGTTCTCGTTGTTCTCGGGCATCCCCAGTTCCGTATCCACCTGCGCTGTCGACGCCTCACGCACAGAAGCGAACAGCTTGGTGCTCTGCAGGGAGTACACAAGTACAATGTGAAACCTCTGATAGCGGGCACACATGCAGCAGCATGCATGTACGGCAGGTGTTTGTGTGGTAAAACTCCCATAATCTACACCCACCTGGAGCTCGATAAAGGTTCGCACTGACAGCGCGGAACCTGCGCCGTTGCTCTGGAACAGGCCGGCGCACCAATTGGCTGCACCGTTCTGGGCAAACAGCGGCACTGCCGACAGCTGGTGCAGTGTGCGGCTGGCTGCCGCTTCTACTTGTGCAACTGCCCCTCCTTGGCCTCCGGCGCCGTAGCAGTGCTCCCAGTATTGCATCAGCAAGGTGCCCATCTCGCGCAGCACGCTGCCATCATCATGCTGCTGATTGGGCTGTCCAGCCACCGGCCGGTAGGGCTGAACAGGGTAAACGCTGTCTCGGTCTGCAGGGGTGGAAGGGTTGCAAAGGTCAGCAGATCCCGTCCACGGATGCCAGCAGAGTACTACATGATGCTTGCACTTTCGGCATCACGGCACCCCAAAACTGACACCGGGCACTGCCTCACATTTATCAGTGTAAACCTCTGGCAAGTCATCGGCGCACCACACAGGCCCTAGGTGCATGTTGAGATCTTGTGCAAAGATGCTGCGCAGGCCAGTGCCGATGCAGGGAGTCTTGTCTGGCACATGATACACTCCATCGGGACGTGCGCTGTTCACCTGCGTAGGCGGCACCATTCAAAGGCATGAGTGATCGACAGCCAGCTGGAAGCAGGCTCCAGCAATGGCAAATGAGCTGCCTGGTTGGCAGCCAACAAAGCCTAGCCTTGCGCTCAAACTCGTGTGGCGCTATGATCTGGCCAGCAGGGTCCAGGATCTGCCAAACAGTCTGCAGTAGCAAGGAGCAGCCTTCAGCGCACAGGATGAGTTTCCAGCATTCAGCAATACCAGGCATCGACCCCCTGCCCACCTGGATGTACAGAGGCCTGCCCAGCGAGAGCACATAGGCGGATAGCTTCCCTCCTTCACGGGTCTCCTGCAGGAGTTTTGGGCATCGTGATATGATGACATAAAGCTAAGTTGTGATGTGTGCCAGTATGATGCAGGAGTATGATGCAGGACATCCAAGCATCAGGGAGCTGGAGCCGCCCTCGTGTCAGGTGCGCACTTGTATGAGCAAGTCGCGCAGGTGGGACCAGCCAGGCCGCTGCCGCACGCGGTAGTTGTGTGCCACGCCCTTCCAGAACCAGGATGCCGCATGCACGCTCTCTGCGGACGGTTCAGCTGGCAGTGGGCAAATCTTGCCGGACACAAACACCCCGGAGGGCTGCTGCGTCAGGCCGACCGTCTGCCAATCCATGGCGTGCCTGCAAACCGGTGGGCGTGAAGTGGGAAGCTGAATAGCAGACCAATCCTATTATTTTAGCAGAAGTAATATTATAGTAAATAGTAAAAAAAAAATCAAAAAGCAGACGCCATGCCCGCCCACCAGTCTGGAGGCGTAGTCAGCAAGTGCTCCGACTCAACCAACGTGCTGTCCAGGTCGAGCACCACGGGTACCTGCCTGGCGGAGATGGTGCGGGCAATGAAGGCAACACCTTCCACCTGCGGTGTTGCAGCAGGGTGTCAGAGGCCAGCAGGTACATCCAGCAGCAGTACAAGCAAAGCTGGGAGCAAACGACTAGGCACGCCTCGCTGCCTTACCCGCGTGGTGAAGACAGCAAAAGCCACGCCATCCTCGCCACATGCCTCACGCGGAACCAGCACTAGATCGAAGTTCGACTCTGAAGTCAGCACCAGCACAGTGCTGCGGGTGCGGCAGTCCTGCGCCAGTTGGGCCAGCGCTCGCGTGCTCTCGGTGACAGCTGCCTCTGGGGAGGCCCCCGTCCCCACCCACGCTGCCGGGCCCCGCCGGCTCAGGAGCTCGCTCAGCACCACGCCCTCAGCCCGAATATCGTGCCTGCATGGCCAGCAGCAGAGTTGCGCGGGCATTCAGGGCGCGTTTCAGGATTTGTGTTTTGGCAGGCGGGCAGGCACCCCCCTAGACGAGCGGCGCCGCCAGCTATCGCGCCGCCGCCGCCGCCATCGCTCGCCTGGGCTTGAGCACGAGCGACGGCCAGCTGTCCCCTAGGTGCCCTTTAATGGCCGACAGCGATTCTTGCGACGCGCACAAGCGGGCGCGGCACTCCGTTGCTGAGTAGTCCGCAACGGAGAGCACCACGGCCTCCTCGCTGAAGCAGGGCGGCTCTGTGGGACAGATTTCCATCGCGTCAGCCATGAATGCGCTCCAGAGCCGAGCCGAGGCTGTATAGCGCACGGGCTGGCCAAAGTCTTTTGCCCCTGAATGGCAAAACGACTGATTGCGGGCTGGTCGATATCCGCGGAAGAGTAGACACAAAACAAATCAATGCGGGACTCGCTGGCGCGGCATCTGCATAGCAGCACATAGCGCACATGTCGGGGCCGACGCTGCGCTGCCACAACCGCGCACGGGACTTGCAAGTTTACAGAGTTCTGCTGCCTAACAGTCAAGCAATTTGTACACCGAGTCAAAAACAAGTATCGTAAAAACAATGCCCAACTGTACTGTAAGCTACAGACTAAAGCTGGAACTTGCGGCGGCTCGTGTCCTGCTCGCCCGCCTTGTGCATCCACTCAAACTCGCCGCCCTTGCTGTTAAAGGTGCCCTTCTGCAGGCTCTGCAGCTTGAGAGTGAAGCGCGGCCCAATCTCCTGCAGAACCCAGTAAGCAGCCGTGGTGGTGATCAAAATCGTTGCCAGCACCCAACGCCACCCGGCCAACCCGAGCCTCAGCCATGTTGCGCCCACCTGCAACCGCGCCTTGACCGTGTTGACCTTCTCCTTCTTCCCCTTCTCCTTCTTCTGCCGCTCCTCAAATATGTAGCGGTGGTGGCGGAAGAAGATGAAGTCGCGCTGGTTGTGGAAGGTGACCACGCGACGCCCCCGGAATGTGGGGTCCTGGTGGAACAGGCTGGCAAACATGCGCCCCACGCGGTGCCCCAGCCGGGTGTCAAAGTTGTTGAGCACCAGCTCGGGGCGGTGACTCGTGGCGCGCGCGTGGCCCTGCAGCACAACCGGCCAGCAAGCACAGCAGCAGCGTGCTGTCAGCCAGCATCTGGCTGTACCACATGGCTCGGGACAACAGATACCACAATGCCACACCCGGCACAGCACGCATGTTGCCACATCAGGAGGCTTTAGGCACAGGCCGCCTGCTCCTGTGCAACACCAGCAGCCCACCTTGATGTCGTTCGACAGCACTAGGTTAGAGAGACGGAACTGCGCAGTGGGCCCATCAGGCAGGTGCACCAGCAGCAGGCCGTTGATCTGCTTGCGATCCTCATTGAACACCTGCAGGCAGGGCACGCAGGCAGGCAGGTAAGTTTAAGGGTGCACAGCAGAGGTGGGACAACACGAGCAAGGGAGGGCGGGCAAGACCCTGGGGACGCGCACGTCGCCACACCGCTCTAGTGCCCCTGCCACGTCTGCCGTCGCCTCCATTCCCTGAGCAGCAACTCGATGGGCTCACCATGAGGTCCGTAAAGTCGCGACTCTTGGCATACTCCACAATCTTTTTCAGTGGATAGCCCTGCCGCTTGTAGTATGTGGCACACGGCAGCACCTGCTCGCCGGGCAGCAGGGGTGGCTGCGGCTGAATGTGGTGACCCCGCGGACAGCTGCTGGCGCCATGGGCCGGGGCCTCACCAGCGTGCGGTGCAGCGTCCTGAGCAAGCCAGCAAGGCAGCGATTCTGCAGCAGCCCTCCCACCTCTAGTAGCTCAGATATGAAGCGGTACATCGCGCCAGTGACCTTGTAGCTGGTGGTGATGAGCACATTGGGCGGCCGCACTCGCTTGAAGTGCTCGGCAAACTCATCCTGGTCCTCGTCTGTGGTCAAGGGCAGCCGGGCAAAAACAAATGAGGGAGCTGGCCCAGAGCGATGCCAGCACGCACACACAGTGGTGGCAGCAGCACCAAAGAGTGCGCAGCGCATCCTGCAGCTGCTTGCCATCCAGCACGCGCATCGCTCTCGCACCTGCCGCCACCTCTGCGTCGTCTGGCTGCACCATGGTTTCATCCTTCTCCCGTGTGTTCTCTATTGTCTGCAGCATGCCAGCAGGCGGATGTAGTTGGCATCGCAATGCAGCTGCACGCTCATACCTGGGCTGCAGCGGGGCCTTCCGCTGCCCGCCGCCGCTACCGCCGCCGCCGACATGCATGCCGGGCCATGGCCCCACCTTTGGCACCGGCTTTGGCGGGGGCTCGATGCCCAGCTCCTCTGCCCGGGCAACCTCCTTTTCCCGCAGCGCCCGCTCCTTCTTCTTCAGCTTATTCTTCTCGTGCTTCAGCTTGGCATACTTGGCTCCTCTGACCTGCTTGTTCTTTATGTGGGACGTCTGCTGGCCTACGGTGGGAGCCTGGTTGCCGCTGGGGCCAGGCCCGTCGTCGTCTTCATCCCGCTGCCGCTTCTTGCCCAAACTCACCATTTTGTGCAGTGTCGAGGCAAGAGACAGCGATTCGGCTTGGTGCGTTTTGCCATTGCAGTACAAATGAAGGACAGGGCTAATCTCTTCGTGAAGTGCGTCAATCCCACAACCCCACCACATCACGGCACTTGCAATTGCTCGAGGACTTTGCCGGAGCAGCGTAAGCTCCGAAAGCCTGCTTGCCACAGCCGGTGCAGCCGAGTTTGGGTCACCCGCAGCTGCCAGAGCCTCGAAAGGCGATCGACAGCAGAATGCAGGCGGCCCTGCAGCATCCAGCAGTGCGGGCGGCGCCGCAGTCGCCAGCCCCACGCCCACCGCTGGGCGCGTTGGCAGCACCCCACCTCCGCCGCCAGCAGGCGCAGGCAGCACCGCAGCAGGGGCGCTGCCGGCGGCAGGTGCAAGTTGCAGCAGCCGCAGCAGCGCCAACGACGGCTCCTGGGCGGCACGCGGCATCCGCCGCCGACGGTGGGCACACCGCGCTGCTGCACAGCCTGGGCGAAGTGGGCGACGTGGCGCCCATGCACTTGCCCTGGCTCCTGCGCCTGGCCCACATCAAGTCCAAGATCACCGGCGGCGACTCCAACCTGGCGCTACAGGAGAGCGCCCGCGGGCTGTTGATGTGGAAGGTGCGCTGGGCTGGGCTAGATGCAGGCAGACCTGTCAGGGGGCCACGGACGTACTCCAAATCGGCCAGCGCATGGCAAGAGGCAACGAGTTTGCTGGCATGCTGCCGGCCAGCACCCTAGCGCAATGGAGCGCTCACACCTGCACATCTGTGCCATTGTCGCCATCCCCCCCGCTGCTGCAGGCGGCGCTGGAGCGGGGCCTTGTGCTGGACGACTTCACCATCCAGCAGCTGATTGACGAGAAGGACTCGTTTGTGGCGCGGCAGACAGGTGCGGTCTGCTTCAACGAGATTGCTGCCTGAAGAAGCCTGCAGTGGATTATATGCATTGTCGCTGTGTTGCGTTGGGCGATCTGTTGGGGTGCCAGCACTTTTGTTCTACCTGCTGACTGGCCTCCCTGGCCAACTTGCTGTGGCATGCTTGCTTGCCTGCCTGCAGTCGAGGCGCTGCGGTGGCCTGAGGAGCCGCTGCGTTTTGTGCTGGTCCGCAGCTTCTCCACACTTGGTGAGTGTTGCCGGCGGGCAGGATGCTTTGTTGGCGGACAAGGCCTAAACGAGACTGGCTTTGTTTTTGTTTTTTGTCCAACACTGTGCACCTGCAGCAGCTCGCGCAATTACTTTTGTGTGAGATTGCGGCCTGAAACCCTCTGTGCACACCCTGTTTGCCGCAGGCGTGGCGCGCTTTGCGCAAAAGTATCCCGCGGTGCTGGATGCGCTGCTGCGCAGCGTGCTGGAGCTGATTTGCAAGTACCAAAAGACAGGTATGCCGGCTGCTGGCAGAATGGAATAGTAGCTGTTCAAAGAATATAATAGAATAAAATAGCTGTTCAATAGGCTGCATGTGTATTGTCCAGCGCCTCTGCTGCACATGGCGCTTGTTGCATCAAGCTTTGCTGGTAGCATGCACACGTCTCGCCACTCCTATTGGCGACTGCTCTCAGTGATTGGCGAGGTGGATATGGTGGAGCGTGAGGTGGATGGCTCGGGCCAGGTGTACATGACGGCAGCAGAGCTGATGGCGGAGGAGGTGAAGCGGCGCGGAGGTGAGCGGCCGCTGCTGGTGCTCCTCAAGGTTGATGGAGATTGCGGGGCAGGCAAAGCTGCATCCATGCTCGAGAAGCAGGAATCGCTGCTCGCCTTCTCGCAGACACAGAGCCACTGGAGTCATGCACGCTCACAAGACTGTGCTGCGGTTGCCTGCAGAGATTGCCCGCAGTGCTAACCAGGCAGGCGGCATGCAGCCAGCAGCCACAGCATCACAATCCACCGACGAGGAGGAGGAGGATGTTGCAGAGGAGCGTGCCAGCTGGAGCTTTGAGCGTCAGACAGGTGCGGCTTGTGCTGATGGCGGCAAAGGCAATGCACCTAGCACTAGCAGGGCAAGGGTGTTGCATGTTGGTTGCACCCATTTGGACGACCTTGCTGGTGCCCCACTGTTTGCAGCCGAGATGCTTGTGGCAGGGGTCGTGGCACAGTGGCAGAAGCCAATCGACACGCTCAGCAAGGCGGGGCGCGCCTTTGATGTGAGTCGTGCCTCTGGCAGTTGGAGGTTGGCCTTGCCCTCAGCACTCCTGCTGCGCTACCATGCGCGCTCCTGCTCTTCCTTTCGATGGCATGCATGTCTCACTCGTGGCACGGGGGGCCTGGCCTGGCTGTGATTTGCAGGGCCTGGAGTCGCTGCTGGGCGGTGCTCGTGGCGGCGCCTTTGACCTGGGCGGCAACATCTGGAACCGCAAGGTGAGGTTACCGCCTGTGGGCACTGCGCTGCTGAGCCACTTGCTGCCGCCATTGCTGACAGTATGAGGGCAACAGGCAAGCGGCTGACTTCAAGGTGGCGGTCTTGCAGGGCTGGGCTGAGATGGACAAGATGAGGGAGAAGCTAGAGGACCTGAAGGAGCTGCGCGATCTTGTGCGCTCGCTGGGCAGGTGCGGAATGTGGATCTGCCGAGACAAACACACGGGGCTTTGAGGCCATCAAGGGCACTTGAGATGTGCAAACTGTCCCACCGGCCTAGGATGTGGCTGCCCGCCTCTTGACTTGCGCTTCCGTGCATTCCATTGGGGTGCAGGGGCGGCGGCTGGGGCCCGCTGCGTCGCGCTCCTGTGCAGCACTTGGAGATGAGCGGGCGGCCAGGCCTGCTGCGTACAACCCTCGAGGCCCAGGAGACGCGCGGCCTCACTCGCTCCGACGACATTTCCCGCCTCCTGCCCTCAGAGGTGCGTCTACACAACTCGCAGCCCATCCATGTGCCCAACTGGAGAGCACTGGGCAGCTAAGCTACGCTGACACCCTGTCCCTGCGTACCCAACACACACATACCGCCCTGCCACCTGCAGGCGGCACTGCTGGCGCGCGGGCGCGTGGTGCGCCAGGCCAAGCTGCTGTTCTACGCCAGGCTGGCGGAGAAGGGGCTGTCCACGTATGAGCGCGACGGCTGGAGTGAGTTCCCCACCCAGATCCACTCTGAACGCCGCGAGATCCGGCCCACCGCAGACCGCGGCCCCATCCTGCTCTGCGTGGACACCTCGGGTGGGTGACAGGATGACAGGAGCATGAGGCCTGTGAAGGGAGGAATTGGGAGAGTGCTGGACGGGGTGTAGTGTTGTGGCTGGCGGCTTGCAAGGTCCTTTTGCCAAAAACATGTTGTGTCACCCCTGGCCACGCCTTGCTCGCCCAACCATACACTTGTGCACCTGCCTGCCAGGCTCCATGCGAGGCGCGCGTGAGGTGGTGGCAAAGGCGCTGGCCCTGGAGTGCATGCGCGCCGCCAAGGCCCAGGAGCGCAACTGCTACGTGTTTGCGTTTGCGGGGCCGCAGGAGGTGGGTGTGCTGGCTGTCGGCCAACAAATCTCCACTTGCCTGACACGCATTGACCTGCGCGGACCTTGCGCGGACCTCATGCCCCCCACCACCGCAATGCGCGCAGGTGCGCGAGTTGGAGCTCAACATGGACCTGAAGAGCGTGAACAACCTGCTGGAGTTCCTGGAGAAGGTGTTCAACGGCGGGTCGGGTAAGTGCTGGTGGCCCGGTCGCTAAAGTAGTGACATCATGGGGTCTTGCTGCTGCTGCCGCTAGGCTTTGCGGCTGGCAACCTACTGTTGCTGGGCATGCACAGCATGTGCAGAATGTGTTCTGGAGGTGCGGGCCCCGCCTCCACCGCACATGTATGGCTATGCCCGTCCGCTGTCGCCTGCAGATTTCAACGCCCCCGTGCAGCGCTGCCTGGGCCGCCTGCACGACGCCAAGTGGGCGAACAGCGACATCCTGCTGGTGCGTTGGCTGCCTTGGTGGCACATGCGCAAAAACAAGGAGGAGGGCACGGGGGTGTGAGGCAGGCGTTGTGCCAGCAGAGAGAAGCAAATGCACACATGGGCAGGAGCTGAGACCACTGTCCTTCATCCTTCACGCACCTCCTCCATGCCTTTGCATGCCCCCGCCTGCATTCAGGTATCTGACGGCGAGCTGCGGCAGCCAGGCCCCGAGATCATGCGCAAGCTGGCGGGGGCCAAGGACAAGCTGTCGTGCGTGCCTTGCCCAGCTTTCTTCAGCTGTGTGCTGCTCCCTTGCTTGCTGGCCAGCTGACGGGCTAGCTGTTCTGTGTATGGAAACCCAACCAGCTGCCAGCGCTCGTTCAGTTCACACATCTCTGTGCTGCGTGCCCGCCCTCCCTGCAGGCTGCGCGTGCATGGCCTGATTGTGGGCAGCCCCGACAAGAAGCGTGCCGACCCTGCGGTGCTGCGGGGCCTGTGCAGCCACACGCTGCCCAACGGCAAGAACGAGGTGCGTCGTGTCCACTGCTACAGTTCCTGGTTTGGGCCCCTTTTGTCTTGCTCCCAGTTTCCTCGCTTTGGCTCGGCATCGCTGCCCCCATCAGAGCCTCCCTTGCTCACTGCAGGTGCTGGTACACGAGTTTGAGAGCTGGGCCGGTGTGCAGGCAGACCGCAGCATGCAGTTTGACTGGGACGATGCCATGGGCAATGCGGCGCGGCGCGAGGCGGGTCTGCGCCTGGAGAAGATGCGGCAGGTGCGCCACGCTGCTGCTGCTGCCCCGCGGCGCAGCTGCACTCATGCCCGGCCTCTGGTTGCTTGCTGTGCCTGGCACGGGCGCCTCACAGCCCTGCGTGCTGGTTGTGCTTGCGTGTGCAGGCGGAGATCAAGCGGCGGCGGCAGGAGCAGCGCGGCGAGAAGAAGGACGTCAAGGCTCTGCGCATGCCCTCAAAGGACGCGTCCTCTTTCGATTAGAGGGCGACCTAGTCTGGCAGCCATGCATGAGCAGACACACACAGGGCAGGCACAACGTCGACGCATGAACTGCCACCACACCAGACTTTTGCGAAAGTCGTTGACTTTTTTCTTTTGCCTTGTCTTTCCATAATCCTTGGTTCCCTGCGCTTCGCCGCCTGAGTTTAGTGCCCAGCCAGACTACCCTACACCCCCAAAAGCAAACTGCAAGAGAGAGAGAGCCGTGCCCGCACGGCTTCCTGCGGTGGCCGTTGCTGTCTGGAGCTCGTGAGCTGCACGCCGGCTAAGCAAGAGGAGGTCTGGCCGATCCAAGGGTCCTTTCTCGCCCAGTGCACCCATTGATAATCGTGCTCCTCCTTTCCCAGGCTGGCCTGGACGTGCCCACGTCCACAAGCGAACCTCGCCTTTGTTCACCGTGTCCAGCCACTCGTTGTGATCCCAAGCAGTGCGAAGGGCGGTGCAGCCATGAGCACGCGGCCCCAGCGCGATCGCAAAAAGTCCCAGCGCGCTCTTGAAGCGGAGCGGAATGAGTTGCTCCTGACCCCTGCGGGCAAGCAGCTGCCAGCTTACGACAGCGAGGAGGAGGAGAGCCCGGCGGTGCTCGCGCGGGCGTGCAGCGGCGGTGGTGAGGCTGCCCACGGCCAGCGCCGCAAGCGCACCGCGGTCGAGATTGAGCAGACTGTGGCCCTACTGGAGGATGTGGAGGCCGACAAGCACGCCATGATTGCCGCGGCGGCGGCAGCAGCGCCAATGGTGCTGCCCCACATCCTAGGCAACTCGCCGCAGCAGCTGGGGCTGATGGCAGGCGGGATGCCCTGGTTTGCGCCTGGCCAGGCCCTTCCCTATGCAGCTGCCTCCGGCTACCCAGTGCAACAGCCGGTGGCGGCTGCCGGCCCCAGCACAGGGCAGTTGCCCCGCACGGTGCCCATTCCGGCCCGCCGCCGCCGCGCCACTGCGGCCGCAGTCGAGCAGGAGGCGGCAGCAGTGGAAGAGGTGGAGCTGGCGGTGGACGAGACACTTTCGCAGCCGAAGAAGCGCAAGAGCAGCAAGACGAAGAAGATTGTGCTGTCGGAGGCTGTCGCCGAGGGCCTGTGGGTCATGGACCCCGCCCACCCGCTCATCTACCGCGCCCCCGCCAGCGCCCAGGGCAGCTCCAAGGTGGTGGCGCTGTCTCTGGATGGAACCATATGCGTCGACCTGTGAATGCAGGGCTGCGGGGGCTGGGTGCGCGGGGGGGGGGGGGCCGGCGGGTGGAGGCTGCTGGGTCGAGAGCTGGATGGGGGGAAACACAGCTAGGCTGGGCCTGCCCTGCCTTTAAGAATCCCGGCAGCCTGCTGCTTCCTAACTAGGCACCTCCCTGCCATGCTACGCCCTGCACGACAGCTCTTTGAGCCGCCTTCAGTGCCCTCCCTGTGCCTGCAGCTGGGGCCGACCCTACGCTGGCAACGCCACCGACTGGAAGGTGAGCAGCCACTGCCGCTGCATCTCCTTTGAGCCGCTGACAGCGTTCTCACCCCACGCCCCTGCGCAAAGGCACAACTTCCCTGCCCTTGCCCTGCCCCCCCTTGCCCTGCCCCGTGCCCTGCAGTACGCCTTCAGCGGTGTGCCAGCCCAGCTGGCCCACCTAGTGCGCCAGGGCAACGTCATCGCCATCCTGAACAACCAGGGCAATGTCAAGGGTGCCCTGCTGGGCAAGGTGGGCTGGGCAGGGGTTCCTCGGCTGGGTCCAGGCTGGCCCAACACGAGCGTGACATGCGGCTCTTCCCTGGCTGCCCCTACCTGGTCCTTGGCTCCCTGCCCCGCTTGCCCCCAGCCCACCTCTGCTCCCAGCCCGTCTTTAAATCCCCTCCCTTCTGCCCCATCCATGCCTGGATCTTGCAGGCCAGCATGAATGCGCGCGGCAAGGTGGATGCGATTCTGAGCGACCTGGAGCGCCACCATGGCGTAGACACCTCGGCCATCAAGGTGGGAAGGGGAAGGCAAGGGGGGAATGGTGTGGGGGAGGGACAGGTACTCGTGCATCCGCCTTGGGACAGGAAGCAGCGCCCGGTAACTGTACCTGCTCGCTCCGCAGGTGCTGCTGGCGCCGGAGCAAGGCGGGATGCGCAAGCCAGCGACCGGCATGTGGCAGTTCTTCGAGTCGAGCTGCAACGGGGGCGTCAAGATAGGTATGAGAGCTGCGGCTGCTGCAAGGCTTTCCACGGCCAGCGTTACAGGACATGCTGGGCTCGTGGCGGTCCATGCACCTGACAGTTCGAGCGCATGCCGTGAATCATATCGCCCCTGCCAGGGCAGTGCCTGGCTCTCTCCGTCTGACTTCCGATGCCGTCCTCTGGTCCCTGCACTCCTGCCCACCCGCCCGCAGACTTGTCCCAGAGCTTCTATGTCGGCAGCAGCCCAGACGACGTCGACTTTGCGGCGGCTGTGGGCCTCAAGCACGTGGATGCCCGCGCCTTCTTTGGTGGGTGTGCCCCCTCGCTCTGCCGTCAACAAGCGCATACCGGAGCAGGGGCAGTTGCATCGTGCCTGCTTGCTTTGCAATCGTCTTCTGACGTGCGCTCCTGGCGCTGGTGTGCAGACAGCTGAAGCTTCGAGCAGCCTGGCGCATCGTCCGCTACGAATCCCAACAAAGAAGTTCATAGTGCCCGCTTCCCTGCTGGCCCAGCTCCAGCATCCTGCATCTGTGTACACGCTCGACCTGAGGTGCACGAAATGAGGTGCACAAGGTATCTGATTGGTATCCCACTCAAACCAACTCTCTGGCAGCAGTGTTGCGCCACATGTGCATTTGTTTCAGTTGTTGTTTGGGGTCGAGGTAAAAGCAAAATTTGTCTCATGTAGTTGGCATGACTGTTAAGTGAAACTACAGTATGCATCTCTTGAGCGGAAGGAAGAAAGCATAGGGAATGAAAACACAAGTGAGTCGTTGCTGAACTACGGCGGCAGGCCGGCCAGGCGCAGGGTTGTGTTCATGAGGGCAGCCGCGGCGCTGCGCTGATTGCGCTGCAGCAGGCGGCGCAGGAAGTCCTCCTGCGCAGTGGTGCCCAGTTAGCACACAGCACAGCACACCGCGGCAAGGTCGGCGGAGCAGGCTGAGGCCAGCCGTCCACTAACAAGCACAGCAGCAGGGCTGCCTTGACCCACCTTTTGTTGCTGCTCCGCAGAATCCAGCTGGGGCAACAGTGCCAAAAATGCTGCCGACGCCTCGGCGGTGAGGCCGGCAGCAGCATCGGCAGGTACGTCTGCTGCCTCCATCAGCAGCCCGAACAAGTCCTGAGGCTGCTGCGCTGGCAGCGCTGGTGGCTCCACGCCAGGCTCCAGTCCGCTGCTCTCAGCTGGCCCGTCGCCTGCAGATGGCGCAGCTGCCGCCGTCGACCTTGCCATTGCCGCGCCCGGTACCAGGCCAGCAAGGCGAAGCGCGGTGCTCATCAGTGCCACCGCTGCCGTGAACTGCCGCTGCTGCTGCAGGCGGAGCAGCGAGGCCTCCTGCACAACGCAGGGAGCAGCTGGCATCTGGCAGCGGCCCAGACATGCGCATGGCTTTCTCTGGCTGAGGCGGTGCACAGCAACCACCTCACACAAACGCCTCACAGGCTAGCCACCAAAAATCAGGTGGCTGCACTCCTGGGGTTAACCTCACCTTGGCAGCCTGCTCTCCGGGTGCGCTCCGTTCCAGGAAAGCAAAGTAACTAGCTATCAGCTCCACCGTCATCCCGCAGGCAGCAGCAGCAGCATCCTGCTGTGCCGTCGCAAGCAGCAAGGAGAAAGCGTCCTGCTTGGAGCACTGCTTATCGCTCTCCGGTCCCGCTGCCTCCCGCTCCTGCTGCCGCCGCTGCTTCGCCAGCTCAGAGCGGACCGCATGCCAGCAGGGTGTGCACACATACTGCTCCCCTGTGCCGGGGTGCCTCCGCCAACCCTTGACACGTCCTGTGCCGCTGCTGTTGCTGCCGCACTGCAGGCACTCCACGCCCACAGGGCGCATCTCGCCCCGATGGTCCCGCATGTACTCCCTGCACCTGGTGCAGAGTGGGGCGCCCGTGGCTGGGTGCCTGCCCCAGTTCCGGAAGCTGTCTGTGCCACAATGGGAGCAGCAGGTTGCTGCTTCCTCCCCCTGCTGCCGCTGCTGCTGGGCTGGGTGTTGCTGACTTGCTGGAGCAAGCGCCAGCCCTTGGTCGCTGCCACCATGAACGAAGGCGCGACTGTGATATAATGTCGACCAGCAGCTGACGCACAAGCGTTTGCCCGAGGCTGGATGATATCTCCATGTTTTGCGCTTGGTAATGCTGCAGTTGGAGCATGCCGGAAAAGGGGATGCTGGCACCCGTGGCTCAGGTCGCTGCGGCAGTGGCGGTATCCGCTGCTGTTTCTGCGTCCCGGCACACTGCTCCCCGGGAGATGGGCGGGTGGCTGTTCCTGGCCCTGCACACAACAGGAATCAGTTGTTAGCTTGTGGGTGGAAGCGACAAGCAGGAAGGTCAACTGCACCGTGCATCATCCTACCTGCACGATTCCCAGCAGATGGCGTGTGCAGAGGTTTAGGCGGTGGGCTGGACTGGGCCAGCGTCTCTGCTGCTATGGCGCGGGCAGCCGCTGGAGGGGGCTTGCCTACACGCCGCCGCTTCATCAAGCGCTCCTCGTACCCATCAGTGCCGCCTGCGTCGTCCAGAGAACAGTCACGAGATGCAATTTAGTGGTCAAAGCATGTCATCCATTGACCACCCGCACGGTTGGACATGCCCAGCTGCAGCAAGGTGCACCAGATCCGCACGCCTCCCTACCTATGTCCTGCTGGAAAGCTACAGACGGCGACACGCCTCTGGCAGCAAGGTCCAGCTGCCGACCAGCGGCTGCCGCCACAAGAATCTCTGGAAGCGCCAGGTCTGCCGGTGCTGCGCCTGACGGCGGTGGCTGCTCTGGCGCTGAGCTACAAGTGTTTTGCAGCGCCGCACGATCCTCGCCTGCCTCTACCTCCAGCGCAGCGTTCGCATGCTGGTGCTGATGCGCCATGCTGGAAGGCACCGCTCGGCTGGTGCGCGTCCTTGGTGGTGGCGGGCGGCCTGGCGGCGACGCCGCGTGGGGGCGGAAACGGGATCAACCGAGCCTGGAGCGACTGCGCCACACTCTGGCGATGCCGCAGCGTGCTTGCTTGATGCGTGCTGCTCAAACGGCGGGGGAACTCCTGGCTGCGAGACCTACCCGTGATCGGGATGGGGTGGCAGAGGCAAGTTATTTCCTTGACCAACTAGCAATCGATATACATGCCTCGCATGTGTGAAGGCGACCGCATTGGAACCGGGCATGTTTTGGGGGAATTGCCCTTTGAAGATAGGGGGCGCCAGCTGGGGCAAGGGGCAAAACTTTGCTCTACAAGTAGTGCTGTGGCCAATCCAATGAGCATGCACATCTGAGATGTCTCAGATGGTAGTGGAGGTCAGAGGGTTGTGCCTCCCCACCGTCAAGAAATTAGCCTGTGCATGCACAGTGTGGGGTTGTATGGCGTATGCCTGCATCCACTGTCCAGTTGTGCGTCGTGCCTGATCAATGCAGGACTGCAACAGGGGCGCGGCAGTGGAGGGCCACATACGATGCCACGCTGCCGAGCATGAACTGAAGCATCCCCCCGTGCATGTGGCTGCCGAGAACCACCTGCGGGCATGGCGCAGCAGGGGCCGGCAGGTCAGTAAGCAACACTGCGCTTCCGAGCAGAGTTAGGCAACAGCAGCAGCAGGGCAAAGAGCTGGGATGCCTGCTCAGCCCGCCCCATCAGCATCCCAGGCCGCTCGCTCACCGCCGCCGCCTGCAGCTCGTCGGCCTTGCTGCAGATGGACTCCCCCACCCCGGACACGCTCTCGTCGGTCGGCTCCACAATGATGTCCACTTGAAAGGGCACCCCCGCCGCCTGCTACGTAGCAGCAGCAGCCCAGGCTTGAATTGCAGAGCAGCATGGCGTACGTTGAAGCTAGAAGCTAGAGATGAACACAGCAGGGCACAGGCAGCAACACTCAACGCGGGGCATCTGTGGTGCCCCCCCCCCCCAACCCCTTTCCTGCCCCACCACAACCCCAGGCGGGGGCTGACCCCCACCTGTAGCTTGGGCTCGAAGCGATGTTTCACATATCTCTGCGTGGCGGACTTGAAGGCATCGGTCAGGGGCTCTGGTGTATTGTAAAACACGAGGTTATCCAGCTGGCCGCCTAGTGCTGCACGGTATGGCAGCGTGGGGATAATGCGCAGCATGTGGAAGGTGTCCCCAGGGCGGTACAGGTTGCTCAGCGCAAAGCTGCACGCCTTCTCCGACTCGTCTGTGGGGCAGGTGGAATGGAGCATGGGTGAGACCGATGTCACGGGCCGGTGCCAAGATGGACACACTCATGCGCAGGGTATCCACCCGAAGTGAATCGCGGTGCAAATGCCACAGACGGACACCCAACATGCGCCCCATGCACAGGCACCTGAGTCATCTACTGCCAGCACAATGTTGCGTCCACTCGGCTGGTGCGCCTCAGTGGCAAGTGCCGCTGCCCCATGCTGCGGCTCAGCACTGCCCCCCAGAGCTGTTGCGGTGGCCGACGCCAGCCGGCCCAGAATGCCCGGCTGGGTTGGGCCTTTGCGCTTGGGCGCATGCAGCACCAGCACGGGGCGATGGCTGTGCGCCACGCAGTGCGCTGCCACACTGCCGAGCAGGAACTCAGACAGCCCGCTCTTGGCCTGTGATGCGATCACAAGGACCGCTGCCTGAGAGGAGCAGACACAGGCGAGAGTACTTGAGAGGACAGGCGGGGCAGCAAACAGTAGGTGCACACAACAAGCAGCTGCCTGCACCATGCAGGTCGGAGACCGTGAGCAAGTCGGCCGTACCAAGAATAAGCGAGCATGGCAGGACAGGCAGCAAGCTGCCAGCCGGCCTTGTCAACCATCCAGCGACCTATAATCGGGATGGTCAGTGCTCAACCCACCTGAAGGTCTTCTGCTTTGCGGCACATCGCAGCGGCAATCCTGCCCTTGTCGCCGCTGCCCATGGGATCCTCCCTCATAATGTCCACCACGTGCGCCACCTGCTTGCCACATGAGACTGGTTTCAAAGGTAACAGCACCACCCCAGCCCAGCTGCGCAAGCAGCCCCGTCCGTGAATGGGTCACAGGCCTGGCGGCCTCGCCTGCTGCTGCTGGAAGGCGTCGGCGCAGGTGCGCTCCAGGGCTCGCTGTTCTGCCAGCAGATACTGCTCCTCGCCCGCCAGCAGGTGGTCGACATCCACCATGGCAAGCCGGCCATCTGCGGTCCCAGGGGCCATGGCATGATGATGGGGGAGTGCCAGCAAGCCCTGGCAGCAACCAGTCGCCGCAGCGCGCGGCTCTGATCGGGGTCTCCCCCTCTATCCAGCTGCTACCATACCTGGTACAGCATACATGCCACCTGCCAATGGCAGGTACGGGATGCAGTGGGCCACTGTGATGACATCGCCTGCATCCAGATCCAAGGGAAGGGAATGGTTGGTGGCATCGGGCTCTGTGCAGCCAAACCGAGCAAGCCAGCATGACTGCGCAGGCAGCAGGTGGGCAACTACGTGCCTGGTCTGTACAGCTCCTGAACTGTCCACTGCAGGGCATACTTGGAATCCTGCAGGGCGGTCCAGGGGGGACGGCATGGATGCCATTAAAGGGAACAAACAGCATTACATGCCGTGAAGTCGCCTAGCCCAGCGTTACATTCTGTGAAGTCGCCTGCCGTGAAGTCGCCTGGGCCAGTCGTCTGGGTCCAGGTCGCACCTCTGAGTTGTCGGCTGCCACTAGGATGTTGCGACCACTGAGGGCAGGAGTGCCAGCATTCAGCGGCTCTCCGCTGCTGGCTATTGAGGCCGTGCGGGATGGGGAGCGCAGCTGGCGGCGCGGCCCGGCGGCGCCCGGCACGGACGGTGACGGTGGCTGGCGGCGCCGCTCTAAACGTCGCGGCTGGCATCTCGGCGGCCGCGCGGTTTGTTTCTGCGACCTCAGCTGCTCCTCAGGTCTGCTCCCTCCAAGGGTGTAACATGTCGGCGCCATTTTGGCCGCAACCGAAGTTGCAAGTAAGGCAGCGACGGAGGGCTATATGCAATCAGCGAGCCTAAGCTGTAGATCGAAGGTCGCTGCTGCAAAGCCGGCAGAATTCGGAATAATAACATGAATGGGATCCCATGGGAGTTTGGCCAGGTGGATGCACCCGTGGCAACCACCCCTTTCTCCCAGGGCTCCCCCCTCCACTGTACTTGCATTGCATGGAACGCAGACAACTGCCAGCACATCTGGTTGAGCCTGGCCAGGGCCTGCGCTGCGCACGTCTCCTGCAGTCCTCAGTGCTGGTTGTATCGCGAGCAAGCAAACCCCAGACCCCTCCAGGGCTGTTGGCAGAGCCTCAGGTAACACTACACCCCCCCCGATCCCTTCATGGTGGTGCAGCCACCGGGGCAGCAGAGTGAACTTGTAAACAACTGGCCGCCGCTTGCTGCAGAGCCTGCCCTGAAGACCGCAGCCATGAGCACCGACCCAGCAACAGCCGTGGGTGGGCAGGCTGTTGGCAGCCCTGCTGCCGCCTCGCAGCCACCGCCCGTCTCCCTGGACACACGGTTCCCTGTCGGCCAGCTCATGGGTGCGGTAGATGCCATTGAGGAGCACCATCAGCACGAGGTGGAGGAGCACCGTCGGCAGCAGCAGGCGGAAGCAGAGGCAGGTAGCGGGGGCGGCAGCACGTCCGCCGATGCGGCTGCGGCGGAGGCTGCAGGGCAGGGCGAGGCGGCGCCAGATGGGGAGGGCAAGCCACTTGGTTACCCCGGGACGTTCTTTTTGGAGAAGCCGCTGACGGGCGAGGAGGCGCAGACGCTGACCCGCATGTGGCCGCCCCCCACGGGGGCGCCAGGCTATCCTGGCTATCCCCCCAGCAACGCCCCAGGCTACCCCCCGGCCAGCGCCCCTGGCTACCCTCCGACCGGTGCGCCGAGCTATGCCCCTGCCAACGCACCTGGCTACCCGCCAGCCAGTGCGCCAGGCTACCCCGCACCTGCAGCGCCCAGCGGCAGCAGCGGTGCATATCCACAAGTGCACCACCAGCCCCCTGGCGCCCCGCCGGCGGGTGCGCCGCCCTCCGCGCCGCCCATGTCGGCCGCCAACCCCTACCCCAGCCTGCAGCCGGCGCCGATGCAGCTGCCGGGACAGCCACAGTGAGCGGGGGCTGCGGAGGAATGCGGCATGCTTGCTGGCCATGATGCTTTGGGCTGGCCACGCAAATCGGCCAGCTGCGCAGCAGCCAGCACCTGACCTGTTGCTCGCTGACGCCCCGCAGGTACCCCGCAGCAGCGCCTTCCCAGGTGCCCGCCGGCATGCCGCCGGCCGGCGGCTCAGGCAGGAAGAAAGCTTTCATTTGCGGCATCAACTACTTGTGAGCGCCTGGTGTTCCCGTGACCTTCCCAGGGGCATTTGTGGCCATACCCACCTGCCCTCCTTGCCCAAAGTGCGGTTCTGTTTCCTTTCGTGCCCCATGTGCCGGCCCTCGCACTGCCGCCGCTCCCTCTGACTGCAGTGGAACCAGCGCGAAGCTCAACGGTTGTATCAACGACGCAAAGTGCATGGAGTACCTGCTCAAGTCCAAGTAAGTTGTTGCTCCTCGCCCCGCCGCATGACCTGCTCTTGCCGCTGGTCTTGCTTGCAACTGCTGTGCTCAAGCCGGCCGGGGCCCACACTGCTGCTAGTAGTACTACTCAGCGCCAACCACCGCCGCCTCCTGCCCATGCACCATGCAGATTTGGGTTCAAGCAGGAGAACATCCTGATGATGACTGATGACTGCCCCGACCCAATGCGCCGCCCCACGCGCGCCAACATGTTCCAGGTTGGTCGGCAGCGAGGATGGCACACCTGCCCACCGTTTGTATGCCCGCCGCTCGCCGGCTGCCGTCGCCTGTTACGCCTGTCCCGTGCAGTCAGCGCGGGTCCTGTCAACACATTCCCACCGCTCCCCGACCCTGCAGGGCTTCCGGTGGCTCACCATGGACATGCGGCCCGGTGACTCGCTGGTCTTCCACTACAGCGGTGAGCACAGCAGAGCTGCTGCCTGTGCATGTTGCCTGTTGGCCGTGGTTGGCGGGCTGCCGACAGGGCCCGCCTTGCCACCAAGCCAGGGTTTCGGCCTTCAGACACAATGTCGCTGCTGCACACCCACCCCAGTCCCGTGTTGGCCCATGCAGGGCACGGCAGCCAAACGCGGGACTACAGCGGGGAGGAGACGGATGGCATGAATGAGACGCTGTGCCCGATGGACTTCCGCCAGGCAGGCGAGATTGTGGACGACGAGCTCAACCGCTGCCTCATCAACCCGCTGCCCACGGTGGGTGGGGCCAGAGGGGACGCAGCTTGGCAGCAAAGCGCTGGGGCAGGGGCACAGCTTGGACTGCAGCTTAGAGCTGCCATCAGCGGCATCGAGGCGAGCATGGTGCACGCAGCATGGCTGGACGAACCGCGAAACGGCCTGCGTGGCTGCACCTGCAGGGCGTCAAGCTGCACTGCATCATCGATGCCTGCCACAGCGGCAGCGTGATGGACCTGCCCTTCCAGGCGCATGTGCGAGGCGGTTATGCGCAGTGGGAGGCATCCTACCACTTCACCAGGGCGCACAAGGTACACAGGGTGGTGGTGGCGCAGCTGGCAGCGTGAAGGGAGGATGGGACTCCTGTCTGCGCCCCTGGCCAAGCATTCACGCGCCTGCCTGGTTGCACAAGCTGCGCAGGGCACAGCCGGCGGCTTTGCGGTGCAGTTTGGGGCATCCAAAGACTCGCAGACGGCGGCAGACACCAAGGCACTGTCAGGTGCGCCGCCAAGGCCCCGCTGGCATGTGCATTGTTTGCTATCTGTGTTTCTGTAGTGCACCTCACGGTGGCATGCGGCCATCATCCAATTTCTGCCCCGGCAGCCTTTGACCTCGCTTTAGCGTTCGTTTGCCTGGTTGCTCTGCCGCAGGCGTCACATCCACTGGGGCTGCCACATACTGCTTCATCCAGGCCATCGAACGGCGCGGCACCAAGCTGACGTGAGCTTCACTGCACCATTTTGTTGTTCCATTGCCTAGAGGCATTCGCATGCCAGGCAGGGTCTGGTAACGTGGTCGGACGCAATGCGTGGGTGATGAGGTCCTTTGCACATATGGTTTGCAGGTATGGAGAGCTGCTGCTGGGGATGCACCACACGCTGCAGGCGACAAGTGAGCCATCGGCGTGTGTGTGTGTGTCGTTGCATTGCTTGCACCGGACCAGTAGGTCTGCCTTGACCATGCTATGCGTGTCGGCCCCTTTTAAAGTCCTGCTGCCTGTGCTGCAGTGGGCTCTGCTTCGCAAGCGCCCCAGCAATCCAGCGGTCTCATGGGCATGCTGCTCGGCGGAATGAGCGGGGGCGGGTACCGCGGCCAGGAGCCAGTCCTGTCGGCCAACTTTGCCTTTGACCTTGCCTACCCCTTCTCCCTCTAGGCGGCATCGAGCAGTTGTTTGTTTTCTCTCATTTCACCTTATTACATGTTTGTAAGTTGCAGTGCAAGCGGCTCGTTCAGAGCGGCCATTGTCGATGCCGTTATGGCCACCGAGGGCTCGGCAACAGCCAAAGCAAACTTTGACTCGGTCGCACCAAACCAGTTGGAGTAGCAGACACACCAAGGCCCTTGAGTTAATAATTGAGCAAGCCAAATGCATTGCGTACCACTCTTTCTTTGGGAAGCTGAGGGGACGCTGCTGACAGGGACACTCATCCTTAGGCCTCGCATCTTGTGGGCTGCTCACTTTTCCCTTGGACACTTTTCTCCTCGGGCAGACATGGAGGGCCCCACTGCTGGCGCCACCCAGCCGCTGCTGGGCGACGTGGAGAGTCAGTGGAGCGGCTCGCCCCGCCTTCAGGTTTGTTGCTGCGCAGGGGGGGCTGGTGCAGAACTGTGAGATCAGCCCACCAGGCCTGCCGGGGCCCGGTGGGCTGCTCTGTGTTCCTGCTGCTCACGTTAGGGGGCAGCGGCGCACACCGAGTCGCCCGATCTGCACCGCTGTACAAAGGCCGCGCGCAGGCAGCAGGCAGTGTGGGACATTAATCTATGAGTCAACACAAAGCAGTGATTGACAGCAGCCACAGCGCTCGGTAGGCATACTACCCTCAAAATGGGCTCCCGTACCGTTGCGTTTCTCCCCAATGCGCCATGCCACTTTGCCAGTCATACACACGTTTCGATGCGTGCCCTGTCAGCTGCTTGCGTTGCATGTCGCCTTGCTCCACCCCTGTTTTATTGCTTTCTCTGCTTTCGCCCGGTTCCCGTCCCGTTTCGGCGGGGAGTCTATGTTGCAAGCTAGTTCTTGCTTTACCAGACTTTAAGCCCACACAAGCAAAGCAAGCAATGGGCAGCTCAACCGCGTTGCAGCCCCTTGCTTGTCATACATGGTAAAGGTAAAGGTAAAGGTGGGGAAGAGCCTCCACAGGCTTAACTTCCCGGTTTTAACGTCTAGCTTTAGACCATTATTTGATCTGCCCGACGCGCCAAGTGCAGTACCCCCCACTAGTAGTGAATGGGTCCCGGGGAGGCCTGTGCCGAAGCCTTGGCGATTCTAATAGGCGTTCCCGAAGGAATTGGCTTGGATTGGCGCTGAGCCGGTCAGCTATGCCGCGTTTGTCCTCACAAAGTTTCGACATGGGAGGAATCGAACCTGTGCCCTCTCGGAGGGTTTAGACACTAGCTCCAGCGCCTTCAAAGAAGGCCTTTCTTAGCCGCGACATGGTGAGGGCTAATCGTTGCAAGTTTGCCATCCCGTGCAGGATGTTGAGGACCGGGTTACCGAGCAGTGCAGTGTCACAGAGCTCCTTGAATCGGGCCAGGCGCATGTGCTGCGCTTCCTTCAGAACAAGGGAGTAGCTCTGCTCGGCGAGTTTGAGGAGGAGGTGCGATGTGCCTTGGGTTGGATGCCGCATGTTCTGGTCTGGGACAGGGACAGCGTGGTTGCAACCAGGCACATCGCTGTTCGCCTGCCGCCCATCCGTCGCACTTTGCAGGATGGTATCGTGTTCCCCGCTTTTGGGGACTCCGAGCTGCTCACCTTTGGCGCCAACAGCCGCAAGCTGGACTACGAGGCGGAGTGGCGCAAGTGTGGAAGCGCCGCAATGGAAGCAGCGCGCTGAGGCCGTGTTTTTTTTCCTCACCAACCCACCAGCTGTCGGTGCCCCTTTGCCAAATGCAGGCGGCTGAGGGAGGAGAGCGGCAAGAAGGCGGCCCAGGGGGGGTGGACGAACAACATTGCATGTGAGCTCCCCTGCACCTTTGCCCATTTGAGGATAACTCTCGCCAGCTTCGATGCCCCCCATGCCCCCCCCGCCCCCTCCTCCCTGCAGTGGAGGCTTACGTAGTGACCGTCCGCAACGCCGCCGCCCCAGACTGCCGTGGCCTGTTGCAACCGCTGCTGAAGCGCTATCAGGCGAAGCGGTGCAGTTACGCTGTCTTTGCGCTGCCAGCTGTGGAGGCAGTGATCAAGTTCAAGTGAGTGGAGGGAGCAGGGGTCAAAGGAAGGAGAGGAGCATGCTGGAAAGGTCGCCTCCTGCTGCACATCCCATCTGCTGTAGATGGAAAACCTTTGCGCGGCAGCTGCTCCTGCTGGAGCTGTTTTGGTTCCTGATCTGGTGGGTGCAACAGGAGCTACACATGGGGCAGCAGGCCTGGACCTGTTCTCTGCTGCCCTCCTGTTCCCTGGCTTTTCATTCATTCATTCATTCATTCATTCATTCATTCATTCATTCATTCAGCACACAGACCGGCCGCCTCTTGCTCGAGGGCGGCCCACTTTGGCCTGGGCAGCCCGGGCCGCCCTCCCCCCCCGGGCGCATGTTCGGTGTTGGAGGGGTGTGCCCAGCGATAGGGGGCCCCTGAAGGCATGCGCCGAGGCCGGGAAGCGTGGTTCGGCGCTGCTGCACGCTTGGCGATTTGAACAGAACCACGTGCCGCCGAGCTGCGGCCGCAGTTTCCGGCCCACGGTCTACGGTCGCAGCCACGGGACTCGGCGGCACGGCGTTTGGGCCCAAGCTTGCTGCCGCCGCCGCCGTGCCCGGGGGGGCAGCGCGGCGGCGGCGGCGGCACGCTGCGACGCCCCCGTGCTGCCGAGCTGCGGCCGTAGGTTCCTGCCAGAAGCCCACGGCCACAGCCACGGGACTCGGCGGCACGGCGTTTCGGTCCACGGCTTGCTGCCGCCGCCGTCGCAGGGGTGCTGCCTGCGGCGGCGGCGGCACGGCGTTTGGGTCCACGGCTTGCTGCCGCTGCCGCCGCCGCAGGGGTGCTGCCTGCGGCGGCGGCGGTAGCGCACGCGTGGCAACCCCCCGCGCTTCCTTGCCTCCCATCCACCGGACCCCGTCCTGCGCTTCACTTTGTTTCGGGAGGGGCTGCTCACTGCTCATTGCTCATTGCTCATCGCACACTGCTCAACGCTCATTGCCCTATATCCCACCCAGCCGCAGGACTCCACTGCCGCCCGCGCCCCGCCCCATCTGGCCGCTTGCGCGCCCCATCCCCCCTCGATGGGGCCCACCCACACCGGGGCCTCCCCCCTCCCGCCCACTGCTTTCTCAACGGCCCCGAGCCGGGGCTGCCCTCATTGCATACATAGTGCGCCTTTCCCTGCTTTTCTAGTGACCTAGCGTTCCGCACTGCCGTTTGGCCAGCCCATGCTCCCGTACCGTTGCGTTTCTCCCCAATGCGCCATGCCACTTTGCCAGTCATACACACGTTTCGATGCGTGCCCTGTCAGCTGCTTGCGTTGCATGTCGCCTTGCTCCACCCCTGTTTTATTGCTTTCTCTGCTTTCGCCCGGTTCCCGTCCCGTTTCGGCGGGGAGTCTATGTTGCAAGCTAGTTCTTGCTTTACCAGACTTTAAGCCCACACAAGCAAGCTCATCTCAGCTTCTGCATTTTCCAAGTGATGCGGCCCAACTGATGCAGGCTCATCAGCTTCAATGTCTTCACCATTGCTGTAAGTTATTTTTATTTTGAAAATAAACGTCAACAACAACAATAGCAAACTTTCTCTTTTGCAGTTCCAGGACGAGGAGCTACACCTGAGTTTGCGCGGCCTGCTGGCCAGCACGCGCGGCAGAGTCACGGTGGCAGCTGAGGTGTTAGCCCTGGTGGGTTTAGTGAGGCTGGGGCTGGTGCAATGCGAGGCGCGTGCATGTGCTTCTCCTCCCTTGTTCAGCTGCCCGTGCTGCGCCCCCACGCGTGTGCTGCAGGTGGGCATGGTGCCATTCCTGCTGTTGGAGGTGGGCACGATCCCTGCATATGGGATTGGGTGGCTAGATATGTGGAACATGTTGGACCTACTCAGCTACTTCACGCAGGTATAAGTAGAATTTCCGTGGTGTGCCACATGCACGGTGGCGAATTTTTGCACCCAGGGCACAATGCTATGGCACTGGTATCCTGTGCCCCCGCCCTTCCTGCAGATCTGTGCGACAATCCTGCATCTTGGGCGGTTCTACACCAAGTCGGAATGGCTTACTGCGGCACTGGCAGTGCAGTCCATCCTGCTGGTGTTCAGGCTGCAGTTCTTCACACAGGCCTTCCAGGCTGTGCGCATCTCCTACCTGCCAATCATCAAAGAAGTGTGGAGCGACCTGCGCCCCGCGTTCTACCTCATGCTGCTGGTGATGTGGGGCTTCGCTTGCGCGTTCAACATCGCTTTGCGCCGAGACCAAGATGCGCAAGAGGTGGGGGGGTATGGACGCTCCCGGCTCCTGCCTGTGCGCTACTCCTCAGTTCACGTCCTTCTGGGCGATCAAGCGTGGGGCCCTGCGAGAGCTGATCTGGTGCCCCGTTCTGTCATCCCCCAGGAATACACGAATATCATCACGTCCTTTCTGATGATGTTCCAGCACCAGGTGGGGAGTTTGCCTGCACATGCAACCAACCAAGAGCAGATGCCTGCTTCCACCCTGCATGTGCAACAGGGTACTCTGCTCTTCGCCTCCCCTGCGGCAGTACGGCGACATGGAACTGAAGCCGTTCTGGCAGACGAAGAACAGCCCCAAGATTGCAACCGCGCTGGCAGTTGCCTACACGTTTATCCAGGCAAGGTTGGGGGATGCACACAGTGTGTGTGTGCACATTGCTAAGCCGCTCGCCAATGCTCAGCTGCACCGCTTCTGTCGCAACTATTGCAGGGCAGTATCATTATCAATGTCCTTCTCGGGGTGGTCATCTCCAGCTTGGAAAAGGTACGCTGACGCTGACGCAACCCAGCCGAGCGCCCAAATAATCAAAAACATGGTTTTTTATTATAACAGAGCACCGGCTGTGCCTGCAGGCAAAGGAGCATGAGGGCATGAAAGTGTTGCTGAACCAAGCCCGCATCATCGATGAGATAGAGTCCACCATGCCAAGGTGCAAGATTCCGCCGTCTGTTGCCTCCTTGCATCCCCAAAACCTTTACACTTGACGTACCGCTACGTGTGTCTGCAGCTGGCTGGAGCGTCGTCACCCAAATTGGTTCCCGTCATACGTGCACATGCTCAGAATCAACCCCGACAAACTAGACAGGGTGATTGGTATTTAGTAAAGCAAGCATGGGGCCAAAGCCCGCTTGCTGTGTCCGTCTCACCATTTGGCACTGCAACTGCAGGTGGAGCAGGACGCATTGTGGAGCCACATGGGCAAGGATGAGCCTCAGGTGCTGCAAACCGCCGACTCCAACCCCCTCACTGGCGGCCACCCACGCCACATCAATGGCCAGGGTGAGGGCAACGACGGCGACAACGAGTGGGAGGGCGAGGACGAGGGGCAGAAGGGCTCGTCCAGTGTCGACATCGCGGGTGGCTCTGCCGCCCAGCTGCGAGAGCAAATGGAAGCCATGCAGCGCCATCTGGAGGAGCAGGGCCGCCTGCTGCGAGCTGTGTGCACGCACCTGGCGCTGGCTCCTGACGAGGGGCATGCCAGCGGTTCTTCTTCTGTTGGGGGCAGCTAGTCAAGCCTGGTCACTTGCCTCCTGCTTGCCTGTTTCTGTCAACGCATTCCTGCCCTGCCGCTTCCCCTGCAAATTTGGTAGGCTGTGGATTGATGATCAGCGGCAACTTGCTTGCAGCGCTGCAGCGTCCTGCCATGTTTGTAATGAGCTGTGCCAGTATCACGTAGTGTGTGTACCAGGGGAGACCTCTGCATCTCCCAGTGTGTGCGTGACATGCCATGCCATGCTCGAGGCAGTGTTTTGTTTTACATCTGGGGGAAGAGACAGCCGAGGGGAACAAAATAACCGAGGGAGCCCTCCACTGCCAGGGCAATGCTTGATGGATTGGAAAAGGCACAGTGACAGGTCCCTGGGGAAATCCTCCCGGGGTGGGGGTGGGGTGAGGGGTTCTGAGCCTGCAGCCGGTTGGAGGCGGCAGGTGGTGCAGCAGGCCAGCAAGCCGCGGTCGAAAAGAAGAAATGAGGCTGAAAAACAGGGTAGAAGGGCGCCAAGGAGACAGAAACCGCACTGCGGGGCGGCGGCGTGAGGGAAAAACCCGGGGCGGTGAACCAAGGTCAGACAACCGCTGCTGGAACAAAAGCGCGGAACAGAAAACAAAGCAAATTCAAGAACCAGGTTGGGCCTTGGGAAGGGCAGCCTAGGCATACACCAGCTGCATGGTCGGGGAGCGGTGGGACAGTGTATAAGGATTACTTCTGGCAATGCAAGGTTGGTCATTGATGACATCGAGGGGGACAGGCTGCAGTTTCAAAAAGCAGCCGATCGGCACGGTGGCGGCTGGATTTGAGGCTCTCAGTAAGGCGGGAGCATGGTTCCAGGGACCGGTAGCAGCAGATAGGCAAGCAAGGGCACAGCGCTTGTGTGCCAAAATGGCATTGTAAATTCAAAAACGGGACGTAGGGCGCTGTTCAACTGGCCAGTGTCGGTGCTTGTGCATGTCGTTGGCGTTTGCTGTCCTTCGCGCCGCCTGCTGGGGCAGGAGCATCCGGACGCTGCTTCACAGCAGACCATCCTCAAGCAAGCCTTTGCTGATGGAGGCAAGGGCTGCTGCCAGCGACGAGTTGCCGCCGCCAAGACTACCAGGCTGTGCTGCTGGCTGGCGGCTGGCGGCTGGTGATGGAACCCAGGGTGGTGAGGTGGCCCTTGGCCGGGGCAGCGGCGGCTGCCTGGCAGGCATGCTGCTGAGAGCCTCGTCGCCGTTCTCAGCCGCCAGTCCCTTGCTGATGCCACGCAGCACCGCTGCCAGCGCCGACTCAGTGGGACCTGGCGGTCGTGGCACTGCGTCGGCTACTGCCGGGCCCGCTGCAGACTGCTGCTCAGTCGGGCGCTGCTGCTGCGTCACCGACTCATTCTGCCCTGCCCCGCCATGGTGTGCCTCCTGGGCGCTCCAGCTGCCCAGCCGCGCCAGCTTGGCGCGCGGCTCTGCAGCAGGGCTGTTGCCGCCGCTAAGCATATCGGTGGCGCCGCTGGCTGCCGACCCTGCAGGCATGGGCTGCAGCGTTGCCCCTTCCGGCACCGCGAGAGGCAGCACCGAGTCCTTGGGCGAGGGCAGGCCCAGAAGGACGCTGTCTTCGCTGCTGCGCCCCTCGCTCAGCGCCGCTTCGTCAGCCGCCACAGCCATCGCCAAGGGGCCAGCTGTCACTGCTGCTGGGCGCGGGGCGGGTGCCTCGGCATCTGCTGATGCCGTGTCGGCCACAATCGCACTGCTAGGGCACCCAGGCTTGCACTCGGGCAGCTGGCAGGTGCCGCAGAGTAGGGCTTCGGGCGTGACGTAGCCGCGGCGGGGCACATCCCGCTCAGGGTCGTCGGCAATGAACACCTGAAGGGTGGCGGGGACAATAGGGGACAGGAAATAATTCAGCCATGGACAGTGCATATGCAGCCCGCAGTACAACAGCTCCTGGCACCACGTGAAGATGGCCTTTGCCAGCGCCGTGTGCATGCTTCTTAATCGTTGTGCAGGCCTACCGGCACCCATTGTTACTTTAGGAAGCCCATTATTGTTCATTGAGACAGGCCCCTACAGCACGCAATCCAACTCACCCCGTCCTCGCCAAACACCTCCTGCACAGTGAACTGGTGCCAGAGCACCTCGCCCTGCTTGGCGCACCGCACTTGCAGGTACGACAGGTCATCGGGGCTGCCCATGGGATTCCGCTGCAGGCAGGCAGGTGGGGCAGAGCGCGGTAGGCAATGACAAAACGCGACGGCAGCATCCAGGAAAGCTTAGTCACGCTGCCGAACCCAGCAGCCCTCGCACCCACCACAAGCCACACACCTGCATCGTCTTCATGAGCGCCATGGCAAAGCTCTGCGCAGCCTGCCATGCAAAGGTGCCCTCGCTGGCACAGGTGGTAGTCCAAAAGGCCTCCAGCCGCCCGAACGCCTGGCGCAGCACGTTGCCTGCAGCAAGCAGCAGCGGCATGTCGTCGTCAGGGCAGCAGCAGTAACATGGGAGCCAGCCATAAGTGGAGGCATAGAGCGGTGACAGTACTTCAGCACGAACGCACCGTTGTCGGCCAGCAGCAGGTCAGAAGGGCGGTACTCTTCCACATACATCACGCTGTGCGCATATTCCGGCTCATACGCCTCTGCACAGTGACGCAGGGGCGGGGACATGGCGGGATGAATGCATGGGCCAGCGTAGAGGCCCGCACCGAGGAGCATGAAAGGACGAGCGGCCGAAACGGCAGTGCACGGCAGCACTCCTCGCCCACCTGTCGAGTCGTCCAGGCACATCATGGGTGCGGCCAGCTGGGTGGGCACGTGCGGCTGCAACAGGGTAGCAGACAGAGCAGTCGTAAGGGCAGCAGGTCATCATGCCAGCTGGCAGGATGGTGCAGCTCCCGCCCACCAGCATCAGAGCTGCCTACGACTTGGCGAGCCACGCCGCGCCATCCCGTTCACACGTCTACCTTTGTAATGTCGTAGCAGCCCAGCGCAGTCAGCGCCGTCTTGTTGGCTGCTTGGGTAAGTGTATCGGGGAAGGTGGAGGTCAGCCGCGAATCCCAATCTGCAACCGCACGCAGCCAGCACAGAAGAGTGTGAGCCAGGCAAGTAGTAAAGAGGGATCGCTCACCACCTGGAGGGCCCTGCCCTGCCGGCCCGGGACGCAAGTTTAGCAAATATGCAGCGAGCTGCAGCTGCACTCGACGCTGCAACCTGCCTGACTCTGGGATGAGCTGGCCCAGCGGGTCCAGCATCAGCCACAGCAGCTGGATGTACTCGCGCTTGCCCTTGCTGCACACAAACACCGCAAAACGGTCCGCATTCTGCAGAAAAAGGAGGAGGGGCGGCCAGCGCTCGAGTTGGGGACGCTGGCCAACTCCTCAGCTCCCCAACCCCGCCTGCATCGAAGATAGACTGGCTCGCTGACTGCGTGCACAGCGCAGCATGCACTGGCTGGCAGCTTGTAGCTCACCTGCGCCAGAAACTCCCGTAGGTCTGCCCAGCCACGGCGGATGCGGACCTTGAAGGTGCAGTGGATGCGGCCAACCTTCCAGTGCATCACCCACACCTCATCTGCGGCAGCACAGCGGCAAGCAAGCATAAGAGCCAAAGAGGCCATGAAACGCAACCCCATGTCTGCTCCAGCCCAGCACTCAAAAGACGCCACACTGGAGCACCACCCACCCGAGAAGGCATCATGCCCCGGCAGCGGAGCATACTGCGCCTGGATCTGGCGACCATAGCTGTTGTGTACAAGCACGTAGCGCCAGTCCAGCAGCGACCAGTCATTTGGCGCAATGCTGCAGCTGACGGCGTCCACCAGCGTGTTGTCTGAAGCGGGCAGGGGGAAGCAGTCAAGGGGAGGCAGTCAAGACACGAAAGCGCATGTCGCAGCTGTGACCGAGACACGAAAGCAGTTGAGCACATGCACGCTTGGTGGCTAAAAAAGTAGAACAACGCACGCCGAGCTGGCTGCAGTCTGCTCCAGCAGCACCCGGCCATGGCAGCAATAGCGCGGCGCAGGGAGCAGCAGGGACAGCAGTGGCAGCCAACTTGCGGAGCGCCGTGCGGCCAAAACCGCACCTAGGTCCAGCACCAAAGCAACCTGCTTCTGCTGACGCAGCCGCTCGCACAGCTCCACAGCACGCAGGTTGGTGGCATAGGCCAGGAAATAGAGGCCATCCTGAGCCGCGGTGGTGGGCAGGCGGGGGACCAGCACCATGTCGGCGCTGGGCAGGCTGCACGCCAGCACCTCGTCATTTTCATGGCACTGCTGGCACAGGCTCAGCAGCCTGCAAACGGTTTGCAGAGGTGCCGGGGGCCAAAGGTGAGGGCCACACCAAACGCTGGACAGGAGTGCAGGTTTGGAAACTGGCAGTCCAGTGCGAGCCCAACACCCCAGCGCTCCCATGCCGCCACGCCTGACGCACCTGGCGCTGTGCTTCTGCTCCCCCGGGATGACTCCCACCACGCCATCTGGGCCTGCAGGGAACTGGGCATGCATGTAAGCAGTGCCCGCCAGCGCAAGTCTGCGCGCGCCAGACCAGCACAGCTTCCAAGTGCGGCCAGGTGGCGCTATGCCGCCGGCGCCGCGCCACACGCTCCCCGAGCGCACCTCGCTTGTTGACTAGTGCCTGGACTGCAAGCGCTCCAAGGCTCACGCGCCTGCAGCAGCGGAGAAGCAGCAATCAGGCGGGCTGGAAGTCTCTCGGGCCCCAGCGGGTCGAGCTGCAGACACCCGCGTGTTTGCACAGCGGTGAGGTGTGGAGCGGCCTGCCGGCGCACCTGGACACCAGGCCCTGAAGGTTCTGTCTCACGGCAGGGTGTGAGGTTGGGGAGTGGAACAGCCGCACGACGCAGGAGCCGGTGAAATAGCTATCGTCGTCTAGCTCCTCTTGCAGCACCAAACGGGTATTGCTGAAAGGCAACTGGCCCGACGGGGCCATATAGCGCCCTGTTGCTCCTCCTGCTGGGCTGGCTGTGCTCTGTTACAGACCAGAAGGGAAGGTTCGAGGGGAGACAGAGGGAGAGAGCCAAAATTATGTGAGCGTGCTGCGGTGCTGCGAGATGGCCACGGAGATGGCCCACGACCGTGCACGGTGAAGCCCAGGCTGCGGCAGACGCAGGGCATCGCTGAAGCTGTGAACATGAAGGGCGAATCATCAACTTCAGGCGCTGTGCGCAGCGGTCACAGTTCATCTAGCCGCCTCGCAGGGCCGCCCGAGCGCCGGCGCCCGGCGGAGGAAGCTGCGGAAGGGCGGACTGAGCTGCCAGAAGCAGCTTGTAAAGGTTCTGCAGAAGCTGGTTTGGCCCCGCAGCGGAAATGCCGTGCGCTTGCAGCAGCTGGATCACGTCCTTGTTGAGCAGGAAGACGCCGACTGCACGCAGCAAGGGGGGCGCCGATGAGCGGGCGGATGCCAAAAGCGTGGCGTGATAGAGTCAACCCGGCAGCCAGCTAAAGGGCTAAGACGTGCCTCCGGGCAGTAGGTGGACAGGCAGGCGAGCGCTCACCTGCAAACCTGGGCCGGTCGCGGTCGGAGTCGCAGTATAAAGGGTACTCGCTGATGTGCTGCGCGGTGGCAGAAGCGCCAGGCGGCGGTCCCTCGCTGCGCCCAAACAGCGACCGCCGACCGCTGGCCTCCTCCGCCGCGCCCACCCTGCACCATGACAGGTACAGCATCAGGGGCGTCGTACCAGCGAATCCGCATGGCTTGTGCACCAGCGCCGCTGCACCTGCCTCACCAGGAGCCTGCCGGCGGGTAGCTGTCTAGAACTGCCGACCGCGAGCCGCGGAAGGCTAGCGGGTAGCGCAGCGGCACGTCCAGGTAGGCGGCCAGGCGGTCCACCATCTGCATCGCGGGAAACAAACGCAGGGCGCATTATGCAGGGCCTCCAAACCTGCATGCACGAGTTGGGCCAATGATATAACACAACCTACACACCACACCCTACACGCCGGCAGAACAGCAGCCTGCCCCATTGCACCTGCGCGAGATAGCCCAGCACAACCCCCGCTGCTTGGTCCTCCAATGCATCGCTGTCGTACCCAGCCCCCTCCTCAAATGCCCGGCGCCACACTGAAGGACGGAGCTCCAGGCCCCCAATGGACAACCGCATCTCCTGCCTGCATGTTGTGCAATAGGGAGGGCCTATGGTTAAGCAACAGCAGCAGCAGGGGTGGCCTGAGCAGGCATTTGCCCATGCGGACCGCCTGTCATACGACCACGGCCGCGCGCGCAAAATCGTGCCCCCCAGCACCCGAAGTCATAGCCGGCGTCCCAGCCGCCGCCCAGCTGGAAGAGCGGGCGGCGCCAACCCACCATCGCGGCGGCGGCGGGGCGGCACCATCCACCAGCCAGCGGCCACCCGGAGCCACCCCGGGGCGCCACCCCACCCCAAACCACCCTGGCACCACCCAGGCCCAACACAAACCAGCCGAGCCACCCGCCACCCGCCTCCAGGACACGGCTCGCCCGTGGCGAGCCACCCACCCAGGTGGCCACCCGCCCGGGCTTCTCCGGGCCACCTGCCACCCACCCATCCAACCAATCCCACCTGTACTGGCTGGGGTTGTCGATGATGCCGCTCGCGAATGAGCTGCCCACGATCCAAGGCGGCCGTCCTGCGCCAGGCCCAGCCCCAAAGCTGCTGCTGCTGCTGGTTGGTGCTGCACCCGCCCACTGCTCCTCCAGCCGGTCCTCCAAGTAGCCGCCGGGTGGCGCCTCTGGTATACTCACTGGAAGTAGCGAGAAGAGCGCAGCACTCAAGCGCAGCCCGCAGAAGACAGCCACCCACCCACACAGCAAGCTCTCAAGCCATCAGGGCTCAAGCGCATCCATCAACGCACCTGCTGTGGGCCCAAGCTCAAAGATAGAGCCTAGGTGACACACCATTTGGCAGCGGCGTGCCACCAGCTCCCGCAGCACCGCAACAAGCGCGCCGCGCCCCGCCTCCCCCTGCAGTGATGTCTCTGCCTCCCTGCAGTAAGCCCCGCCCAGTCACATAGGTCAGAAAAGGGCGCAATCACAGTTGCAGCCATAGTGCCAAGCCGAAAGGAGACCAACATAGCAGCTGTCGCTCACCCGATCCGGCGGCTGGCAGCCTGCATCACTTTGAGCGTGGTTACCAGCGCCTGGGCTCGCACCGTGCCTAGCTTCTTGGATGCTGCCGCCGCCGCAATCACCTCGCCCAGCTGCTCCTGCAAATCTGCTGCCCGCTGCCGGCAGTGCACCGTCTCAGCTGTCATCTCCGCCAGCACATGCTGCTGCTGCCGCCGCTTCTGCTCAGGCTCTAGACGCAGGTGCAGCTGCTCCTGCAACGCCTGACTGCGGCCCGCAAGGTCCCTTAGCCGCCCCCGGAGCGCTGCCAGTGACGTGACATACTGGTGCACACCGGCCAATGTGAGTGGCTTGGTAACAGTCCCATTGCTGCTGCCAACGGCTGCTGCTGCCAAGGCGCCCCTGCTGCCAACCGGCCCTGGCGCTCCTCCTCCTGCCAGCAGCTCGCTAGCGGCGGTTAAGCTGGTCGGGTGGGACATGAAGGTGGTGGCAGTGGCATCCGACCCGGCATCTGACTCAACATCAGACACGTTGCCATCAAGTGCCACCTCAGAGCATGTGGCGCCAAGCAAGCTAGCCTCCTGCAGCAGCAGAGGGAACTTCATTCGCCCTGCTGATGACAGGCTGGGAAAAACAAGTAGCACTGAGGAAGGAACTGATAGCAACGACACGTCCCCAGACCTGCAGGTTGGCAGTGCTGCGCAGCAACTTGGACACTAGCAGGTTGGCAAAGCGGCGGGTGGCACCGGTGGGGGCGGCTGTGGCTGCCGCGCCATCTGCCCGCTCCTCCCCCAGGTCAGCCGAGGTAGGCTGGATGCTGGCCTTCTTCAGAGGGCTGACCTGAGAAGATGCGGATGCGGACCGCTGCACAAGCAGAATGGCAGGCCACCAACACGTAGAAAATGAGCCAAGCGGAGAAGCATCCATGTGAGAACTGCCTGATAAGGAGCAGCGGCGGTAGGCAGCAATGGTGCACCTGCTCCTGCAGGGGTGGCGGACAGAGGTACCAGCCATCATCGAACTGCAGCACGAGTGTGTTGGGCTGCAGTGGTTGCCGCAGGGCCGCCAGATCAGTACCAGCAGGGAACAGCTGGTGCAAGCTGACTAGCTGAAACGCGGCTACAAGGCGCCCTGGGCAGCAGCCGGTAGACGCCAGCGCCACAGCAGCCACATCTGGCAAGCTCTCTGCTGCTGCTCCTGCTGGCGCTGCAGTGATGGCAGTGGCTTCCGACGTGCGGCTGGCAGCACCGCTGTGTGATGCCGAGGAATCATCCTCCCTTACATGTCGTGGTGTTGCTGCCGGGGGTCTGCCCCCAGCAAGGGGTTGTGCACCGGCCTGCAGCTGCGTAGATGGCACGTCAGCAACAACTGGCCCCTGCTGTTCCTGCTGGCCTTGCTGCTCCTGCTGGCCTGGAGGCTGCTCTTTGTCCGGAGGATTGAGATGCCCATTTGTTTTGTGGCTGTGCTGCTGCAGTCGCTGGTCGGCCTCTGTGCTGTCTGCAGGCGACTCTCGGCTGTCATCCAGTGCCACCGCAGCGTCTGTCGACCCTGCAGCCTTCTCCCCTGCTGCAGCCGCCAGTCTGCTCGATGCCTGCGGCAGCTGGAAGGCTGGCCGCCTGGCAGCAGCATACAGCACTGATTGCCCTAGGCCTCCGTCTGCCTCCATTCCGGCAGCAGCTGCGGCACATTCAACATGCCCGTCTCCTGTTGCTCCTGCCGCTGCAGGGGCTATCGTTCGTGCCGCCACTTGTTGCGGTGGTTGCGGTGGCAGCTCCAGCGCATGCAGTGCCAGGAGCACCTGCACCTCGCCGCTGTCCAGCAGGGGATCATGCTGCAACAATTGCCTCTCGTCCCAGGCGAGCGGCTGCCACTCCGGGTTCAGGGTGCTTCCCACCTGCAGGGCAAAGGCCACCGCAGCCCACCCAAGCGGCTCAAAGCGCGGCCAACTCCAGGTTGCGCCTGCTGCTGCCAGCATGATGGAGCAGCCACCACGCTGCTGAGAAAGCATGGCTGCCTCTCTTACCGCTTCGCTACGGTAAACAAGGTGCCAGATGTCGTCAGAGGCGCATGGGCTGGCATCCGCGGCGGCGCTGCGTGGGCAGCGCGCCGACACGGTGACATAGTGGGCAGCTGGTGTGGTGTCCTTCCTGCCGAAGCCCAGCAGCAACCCCCTTGCGCTCACGCTGTCCAGCTGGCGCAGCCGCTTGGCAGGGTGCTGCAGCAAGCCACATAACTGGTTGCGTCTTCTTGTGGCGGCACTGGGGCTGGCAGGCGGAGGGCAGCGGCACACGGCAGCGGCATTGGAGGAGCCGGCAGCGGGCAGATGTAACGCTGAGCCTTTGCTTGTCCTGTCAAGATGCACAGCTACGCAGCAAAGCTCACCCAGGCCTCCAAACCGGACTGTGGAGCCGGCATCAATAGCGCCTATGCCAGCCCTCCAGCACGCCGCCCGGCAAGCCCCGTGGTCATGACAGTTCTCGGAAGGCTGCCGATCACTCGTCCATTACAAGTGAATTACCTGAGGTTGGGGAAGGCCTTGGCCGTCCACAGCAGGCAGCAGGACAGCCGTCTAAAGCTCCTCTGCTTGACCGATCGCACTTCGCAGCCACACCGCATCAAGGGCGGTACATTGTGGCGGTACATACCAGTCGCGCTAGGCTCTCTCTTTTTCGCCTCGGAACCCTCAGCTCGTGTGCAACGTCAACGTCATGGGCAGCGCCAACCAGCCGCTCCTGGGTCACCACCAGGAGGATCAGCTGTGGGACAGGGTTGAGGCTGCCCCGCCCGCCGGCACGTGCACAACCGTGGAGCAGGTCTTTAAGGATGGCGATGTGATCAAGTACCTCCAGTTCCAAGGCTGCCAGCAGGTGGTTTAATCAACATGCTTTCGTGCACATCTGCTGCATCATGTGGCAGAGTTATTTCATATTTTCAAACCTTCTCTTACTGCAGGTGGCAGAGTTCAGGTTGCCAGACCGGCTCGTACTGGGCAAGCTGGGGGACGACAGCATTACGACGATGGGCGCAGATCGGGCCGACCTGGACTTTGAGGCGGCGTGGCGCGAGGAGCTGGGCGCCCCGCTGCCTGAGACTGCAGGCTGGGAGGCCACTATCCCCGTGGTGGCGTACGTAGTGACGATGGTCGATGCCGCAGCCCCCGATAAGCATGGCCTGCTGCAGCCCCTGCTGAAGCGATGGCAGGCTGGCGGCCTGTCATACTCGGTTTTTGCGCTGCCGGCAGTGCAGGCTGTGATTGGTGAGGCACGGCCAATGCCATCATGCATGAGCGCTGGCCGACTCAGCCGCTGAGGGCGGCCCTTAGCCCAGCAGCGTCTGACAGCCTGCTCGCCTGCTGCAGACTGGAAGTGGGCCCGCTTTTGCAGGAGGCTGCTGCTCTGGGAGCTGGCGTTTTTCCTGCTGTGTGAGTGACTTGTGCGGCGGTCAGCAGTCTGAGCCTCCCTCACCTGATGTCAGCGCCCATAAAATTCTGCGCCGTTGCGCGTCACGCATGCAGGGCTCTTCTCCTTCTTTACCTTCACGATCCTCTTCCAGGCAGGCCTTCTGCTGCGTCAATGGGATGCGCCCACATGCAGCCTGCACAAGGCTCACCACGCCCCGCCGCTTTGGCCGCAGGACGAGGAAACCCAGATGAGCCTGTCAGAAATCCTGGCCACGCCGCGTGGCGCTGCCACCGTGGCATGCGAAGCGGTTTCAATGCTGTGCATGGCACCATTCATGATCATTGAGGCAAGGGGTGTACCATTTCAAGGATGCATTGCCAAGCGAACTTTGCAAAAGCAAGCAATGACCTTCTGATTTTTGCCTCTGCAGGTCTCCACCGTGGTGGCTTACGGCTGGGGCTGGGCAACAGTATGGAACCTGCTAGACACCGCCACGTACGCCGTCCAGGTAGGCGCATATCGGAGACCCCTTATCACTAAATTGTGTGTGCCATCGAAACTGGGAGGTTGTTATTGGTGCTGGCCCCGCCCTGCAGATTGCCATCGTGGTGATGCACATCGGTAGGCTGGATATCAGCTCGGATTACCTCAGCATCCTCGCATCGGCGCAGTGCATTCTGCTGCTGTTCAGGTGAGGTCAATTGACACTGGCAGCATGTCTGCAAGCAAGCTGTAAAACACGCCGCCACCCACCAACCACATTTCTGCGGGTCTTTTGCTGCAATCCCTGTGTGCAGGCTCCAGTACTTCTCCCGCGTCTTTCGGGCCACCAGGTTTTCTTTTCTGGACGATCTGAAGGAGGTCCTGCATGATGTTAAGGCCTACCTGGCTTTCCTACTCCTGCTCTTGTGAGCGGCCGGAATGCAGCTGGGCCCTCGTGGGCAAGGCCCTCTTCGTCCTGGCTGGGGTTTCCCGTGCAGCAGTCGTCTCTCCCAATTGCCCGCCTGCAATCTGTTGCGGCTGCAGGGCCGGCTTTGCCACCAGCTTCCACATTCTACACAGACGCGACCAGGAGAAGCACGATGTGAGCCGACAGTTTCACACTGCGCATGCGCAGGCTGCACACGACCCGTCTTATTGCTGCCGCAGTTGTGTTGCCACTGAATCCCACCCCTCCATCCCCTTCCCTTTCACACAGAACTTCAGTAGTATCGGCAAGTCAATGATGACCATGGTCACTTGGCTGGCGGGCAACGCAGACCTGAATCCCCTCTATGAGGACTCTAGCAACCCAGGTATGTTGCTGTAATTCGATTGATCCAGGCAGCGTGCAAAGCAAACACCAAACCCAAATGCTTCCTGCAGTTGCCGCCAGCCTGCTGGGAGTCCTGTTTGTGTTTTCACTTGCGACAGTTCTCATGAACCTGCTCATCTCCATCATGACCAACACCCTAGAAAAGGCGCGGCTGAGGGGTGCTCCTGCTTAGGTGTGGTCTGCTCCTGGCCTACCGTGCCGGCGCCCCACATCACTTGAGCTTTGTCCTTTGCCGACCTACCCTGCACCGCAGGTGACTGAAAACGAGGGTCTGAGAATGCTGCTATCCAAGGCCCAAGCCATCGATGAGCTGGAGAGCACGATCCCATCCTTTGTGGAGCGCTGGTCCCCAGGGCTATTTCCCCGCTTCCTCCACGTGTGAGCACATGTGGTGCTGCTGTTGTGCCGGCTGGCCATACATTTGCATCTGCTCTGCTTCCCTGCGTCCACGCTGCTCTCTCAATGTGTGCCACGCTCGTCCCCAGGCTGAGGGTGGATCCCGACAAGCTTGACACCGTCAGGTTTAGATTGTATTTGTTGTGTTGTTGGTGGTAGGGAGGGGCTGCCTCACCAGTGACTGATAGCCTTCCTTTTGGCATGGGCAGCGCTTCTGCCAGGTGGGCACTCATTGCAGGTACCGCCTCCTTGCCTCCTTCCAGGCTAGATCAGCTGTGGAACAAGTCTGGGGACGACGAGCGAGATGAGCTGCTGGGTGCGCTGCCCTTGAGTTTGCCGCCCCTACTGCCACCTTGACATACCCTGCATGCCCCTGGGTTGTTGCGAGCATCAGCTATCGCCACCTGCCCACTGCAGAGCCAGACAAGGAGCCGAAGGAGGGAGACGAGGGGGACAGGGCGCAGAGCGCCAGTGGCAGCAAGTCTGGGGCCAGCGCCGCCGGCGCCAGCGCCAGCGCGGCGGGGCTGGAGGCAAAGGTGGACGCTGTGCAGGCCGAGCTGGCAGAGATCAAGAAGATGCTGCTGGAGCTGCAGCCGAAGGCTGTGGGCAGCGCCGAGCTGTGAGCGGCGCTAGCGCATGTGTTGATTCCGATGTGTTGCATTCGACAAGTAGTATGGCAAGCTGCCCTGCTTCTCACCCTCCTTCCAATGCACAGTTTGGTGTTGGCTTGTGTACAGGCCGAACAGGAGGACAACACCCTCATAAGGTCAAAAGGTGCTTTCCACCACGGGCCAGAGGGGTCGCCCATTCGACTGGCCAACCTCAACAGCAACACTATCCTAATGATGCGCCCCACCAGCCCCACCCATCCCACCTGGAAGGGGCTGAAAGGCTTCTTGCCCGTCCAAGGCACCTTTCGCCCCCGCGCCTGGACCTCCAGGCCCCGCCGCTGCAGGCACGGCCTGATGATCACCCTGGCATCTGACAAGGTGCGTCGCAGGCTATAGCCCCGCGCCCGCCGGCCGCCCAACTCGACTGCCCACCCTCCCCGTTAGTCTGCACATGCAGCCGGAGCGCGACCTGGACCTGGGCCCCGGCAAGGCCTCCTCTGCCTTTGCCGACATGAAGAACGCCCAGGAGAGCTACATGGATGACGCACGCCAGGAGCCTGCCCAGGAGCAGATGCACGAGCCCGAGAAGGTTGCCGGTCACCGTGGAGCAACTTGCCTCGTTCACCAACACCAGCTACTACGCCTGGTCTGCCTGGTCTGACATTAACAGCAGTTCCCTCTCACAGGGCTCAGCTACCCAGTGATGCAGGATGACCCTGCATTCGCACCAGAGTCTGGTACTGTGCGAGAGGCTGCCTACCCATTCCAGGGCGAGCGCTCCGGCGCTACCTCAAGCGAGGAAGAGGACATGTCGCAGTACGGTGAGCTGCCATGCGGACTAGCAAGCGCCGCTAAGGAAGGCCATCCTAGAATCTCCCCATCCTCTTATTCCTTCTGCAGCTGCCCCAGAAGCCGGCGAGAAGCCCCGCAAGGGCGCCTGATGCAACGGCAGGGTCGCCAACAAGCGTGCTAGGGTGTGGGGCCCTCTTGGGCAGCAGATAACACTCAGTCCAGTTGACAGTATCACCCAGCATAACAAGCAAGAGCAGCCTCTTGATTGGCGGCAACAAAACGTCGGTTGCAGGCAAAGGCACGGCAGCGCAAAGTGGGGGCGGAGCAGCTGCAGCAGCAGCGACGGAAAGGGCAGCGGTGCTCAAAACTGAATGCGGCGATATCAAGGCTCGCCATCGGCGGCTGCTGCATCCAAGTTGGGCATATCAACATCTTCTGCCGCCTGCTGCTGCTTCCCTGGTGCCTTGCCCCTGGTCTTGCCCCCCGCTGGCGAGCGCTCCGCCGCTCCTGTTGCACCACCATCCCCGCCGTCGCCTGCTGTGGCGGCGGCAGGCTCGGGCTCAGCCGCCCGTGCGCCGGGTTCTGCTGGTGCCTGCCCCCCAGCAACGCCATTGGCAACTGCCGGTGCTCCAACGCCTGCCGCCACCGCCGCTGACGAAGCCACGCCCCCATCCTTTGTGCTGCTGCTGGCGGCGGCCGCCATCGCCTTGCGCACCGCTGCCATGCGGCGCTGATGGTCCATGCTGGGCTGCAGCCGCGTGTACGGCTTAACATCCTTGCTAGAGAAGCCGGGCACCTGGATATTCCTGCAGCAGGTTGGGGCCATAGAGAGCGCCTGTTGTATCAGGCACCCTTGTGATGTCCGTGCTGCTCGACAGGAGCCCCGCGCAGCAGCCAAGCAATCCTTAGTGCCGTTAGCACAGCACGCCAACTTGCACGCCTCGCTCCACCCCATCCCACCCACCACGTGCGCTCCAGGTACAGCAGCAGGTCAGCTGGCTCAATCTCCTCCGCCTTGCGCCGCCGCGCCATGGACACCGCAAACGACACTGCACCACAGCAGAGGGAGGAGCGGCAGGCAGGCACACATCGGTTGGTGAGAAACGGGGCTGGGAAGTGAGAACGAAGGGTGGGGCCGTCACCAGGCATGCATGCTGCAGCCCAGCCATTCAGAAGGTTTGCAGCTGGCCTGAAGAACATTTCTGTCATTGCGCCGCAAGAACAGTGGCACAGCCTCGGCATCGACTCAGCGGCGCACAGGCACAGCTGGCACACCTGCCCCGCTGATAAAGTCTTCTGCCACCGCCCTCAGAGCCTCGTCCGCATCATCCGTGGCCTTTGCATTGGCAATCTGCATCCCTTGCCCCACCTGCTTCACCAGCGCCTGCAGGTTGTGGCCGGCACACACAGAAGCGCACCTGGTGTGCAACCAGGCCGCACAGCTCCCATCCTGTATATTGATTATTCAGCTTGGCAAGGCACAGCGGTGCCCTTCTGCCCCTGCCCACCCACCTGCAGCCGCGGCTTGGGCACAAACTGCTTTTCATCTTCTGTGGAGGGCCGCACGATGGGCTGGAACTGTGCGCGGCGCTGCACCATGCTGGCCTGGAGCCGTGCATGTGCTGCTGCTGCTGCCTGTGTCGCTGTCAAGTGGGGAACAGCCATGCCCGGGATGGCCATGCCTGGCGGCAGCGGCGGCCGCCCACCCGCCGCCATCATGGCTGCCAGCGTCTGCTGCTGCGGGAGTGGCCCGGCGCCTGGGCGTGGCGCAATCCCCGGTGCGGAGTCCACCTTGGGGCGCTTGGCGGCAGGCGCCGAGGATGCTGCGGAGGGTTGTGCGCCACCGGCTGCCGTTGCAGCGCCTTTTCGTGCTGAATCTGCATGAGGCATACATGTACTGGACAGCAGCAGTTTTGCAATGCAATGCATGCGAGAAAACAAGGTGGTGACGCGTTCCCTGGCCGCCCCTTGTTTGTCGCTGAATCTGACCCATTTTCATTAATGCAGTCCAAGTAGGCCCGATACTCACCCCAGCGCAGGAACTCGTTGAACACTAGATTTTGGCCATGGACAGGGTTGGCCAAGTGCTGATGTATGACTGTGACAAGGAGGACATGCCAGGGCCACATATCAGCAACACAAGGCAAGCAGCGCGACGGTGGCAAGGGGGATTGAAATATCGCAAGGCGAAGGGGCGTCGTGCGGTGGGCTCACCCAGCCGCTTTTCTGCCACAAACTCCGGTGGCAAAGGAAACTGGTGCATCACTGGCTGATTGGTGACTGGATGCGAAGAGGACACCGTGATCACCTGCGCGGAAGCCACATGCGAATGAGCAATGTGCAGCGGCATCAAGGGCCAACGCACTAGGGTGACGACCTCACCATGCTCCCGTTCCCAGCAGAGACCATGGGACCGCCACCTGGGCTGGGCGCTCGCCCCGTCAACTGCTGTGCTGCCAGCTGCTGGTGTATCATCATCTGTTGCATAGTGTACAATTGCTGCTGCTGCTGCTGAGGGATGGGCCTGGTGGCGCCAGTTGCCGCCATCTCTGCCTGCTGCCGCGCTAGCTGCTGCTGCTGCGCCGGCGTCAGGTTAGACGCCGGGCTCGGCAGCGGCCCCAGGTGCATGGCTTGCAGATTGTTGGACGAACCTGCTGCAGGCCGCATGGCAGGTGTGTCTGCAGCATGACAAGCGGCGGGATAGTAGCAGGTGTGGGGTCGCGGCAGCAGCAGGCAGCGGCACCCAGGGGCCGGCGGCTGGCTGCCGAGTGTGCCACCCAGTGGGCCCAGTTTGGTCCCATCTCCCAGCCTACTTGTGCTTGCCATGTGTTTGCTGCTGAGGGCTTCCTCCTTCGCCAGAAAAAGTGGTCGAGTCTGGTCGCAGCCACCGTCAAGTGGAGATTTCGGGCAGCGATGGCCAAGCCTGAATAATCACGCCCGATAGCGTTCAAAGACAGCCTGTCCTGCGCCAGAGCTGAAGCTGAATGCTCAACAAGGGTGATGGGACAGAGGAGCCCAAGGCATGCTGGGCAGGTCGCGGGGGACCGATTAGCGTGTTGTTGAAAAGGTGAACGGCTCACAGACGGTCGCCTCGCCCAGCATGGAAAGCCTGGCATCGGCGCCCCCATGTCGAGGAACTCGGCGGCCCCTTTGCTGTCTCGGTGCTGTTGGTTGGTGCGTTGGGGCCACCATGGTGGGTGCTGGGGTCTCAGATCACTGCCAGGGAGGTGCACACCCCACTGCGATTGCAGACCGCCTCACGCCTGTGCTGCAGGTTGAGCCCACCTACCTGCCCGAGGAGCAGAAGGCATGGCTCAAGGACGCCAGCAACGCAGTCAAGCGCCACGGCTTCTACCTGCGCAAGGCCATTGTGAGCGGTGGCGCCCGCCGCCCGCTTGCCGCCGGATCACCCTGCCTGCACTAGATGAATGTCCAGCCGCAGAAATGAGGGAATGTGCATGGGAGGGGAATGTAGGGCTCAGCAAACAAGCCAGGTTGCAAGACCGCCAATCCGGTGACCTCCTGCTTTGTGCCACCGCCCACCACGCTCGCCTCGCTGCACCCTCGAGCAGGACGATGACAACATGAAGGAGGCGCTGCGCTACTCGGCTGCCTTGCTGGGGGAGCTTCGCACCAGCCTGCTGAGGTGGGCATTGCAGGAAAGGAAGGCGGTGCATCGGCACCTCAAACAACCCAGCCCACTCGCCGTTTGTCCACGCTGCACAATTTCGAGCTGTGTGTGCGCATCTCTCCTTTTTTGCCTAACCCTCACACTGCAGCCCCCAAAAGTACTACGAGCTGTACATGCAAGCCTGCGACGAGCTGCGCAACTTGGAGGCACGCCTAGCCTGGCTTGGCACCTCTTGATTGCAGCCACTGTTGTGCTTCTGGCCGCAGCCAGCAACTGCCGCGTGACTGCTGCGAGGGTGGCCGGCTGTTGCCCGCTGCTCCCGTTGTCACATTGAAGCCTGTCTGCCGCCTGGTTCGATGGTCTACCGCAGATCTTTTTCCGTGATGAGAGCGGCAAGGGGCGCAGCCAGGCCGACCTGTATGACCTGGTGCAGCACGCCGGCAACATCGTGCCACGCCTATACCTGTTGTGCACGGGTACGCCCCGCGGCGCCTGCCCCCAGGCCCCACTTTGCATCTGTGCTGCACATGCCAGCTGCCAGTGTGCATGCTGCTGCTGTTGTCGTGCGCTGCATTGCCTCTGACCCGCCTGCTGTTCTCCCCTGGGCCACTGTGCAGCGGGGGCATGCTACATCCGTGGCGGCGAGGCCCCTGCCAAACTCATCCTGCGGGACGTGGTGGAGATGTGCAAGGGCGTGCAGCACCCCACCCGTGGCCTCTTCCTGCGTGCCTACCTAGTGCAGGCAAGGGCACCTTGGCAAGCGGGGGGTGGGGTGTGAGTTGGTGTGTGTGTGTAGGGGGGGGGGGGGGCATCCCTGGGGGCTGGTAAGGCATCTAGGCAGGCGGTCACTGTTACTATCATTGCAGCGGCGCAGCGACCCACAGAATGCCGTCAGCCATGACCCCCCGTCTTGTTCATACCTGCCTGCCTGCCTTGGGTGCAGGTCATGCGTGGGCTGCTGCCGGATACCGGGTCGCAGTATGAAGGAGAAGGCAAGTGTTTCAGGAAGGGGCAAGCCCGCGAGTTGCAGCCCCTTCTGTTGTTGCTGGCGCTTTAACCTAGCTTCCACCATCGCTTCTTCGGCCGTGCCGTTAAGATTGCCGACTGAGTAACGTGTGCCATGTTTGCTCTTGCCACCCTCTTCTTTGCAGAGGGGGGCAATGTGATTGATGCCATCGAGTTCTTGCTGGTGAATTTTACAGAGATGAACAAGCTCTGGGTTCGCATGCAGCACCAGGTGAGCGGCATGTCGTCAACTGTTCAGGTTGGAGATCCCTTTCCAGCACCGCAATTCAGCTTCTTGCCCTCGCTGCTGCAGGGCTCTGCTCGAGATCGAGAGCGGCGCGAGCGGGAGCGCCAGCAGCTGGCAGACCTTGGTGAGCGTCATCTGTCTCCCCACCCAGTTGTTGTCTCCTTGTTGTCCATGCTGCTATCAATTGTCATCCTTGCTTGACTTCATCCTCTTCCTCTGCAGTGGGCAAGAATCTCACCTATCTGTCCCAATTGGATGGGCTTACCTTCCCGCTGTATAAGGACATTGTGCTGCCCAGGTGGGTCAGGGTAGCCATTTACCGTTCGCCTCCTGATGTACGCAGCACAGGAAACCTGCGCCAGCACTGGTTTCTGGGCCCAACTGCTGCAGGGTGCTGGAGCAGGTGGTAAGCTGCCGGGACGACATTGCGCAGCAGTACCTGATGCAGTGCATCATCATGGTGTTCCCAGGTGATGGTGGGGAAGAGCGAGTAGGCACATGGCAGGGCTTTGGACATCTGCGCATTCCAACTCAACAACCTCCGTCAGCTCTGTTGCCCAGCCCGTATCGTGTGCCACCTTTCACGTGTTTTCCTTGTCCTTCAGACGAGTTCCATCTGGGATCACTTCAGTCGCTGCTGGGCGCAATGCCTCAGCTGCAGCCGGGGGTGCGGGTGCACATCGTGCTGTCGCTGCTCATGGACAGACTAGCCAAGTGAGTGGGACCTAGCTGTCAGAGAATCCTCTCTGGCCCCTCTCGTTGGGGAAGCGCTTGTGTTCAGTCATGCTGCTGCGATCCAGGGCGCACCTATTGATGCACTGCCCCTGCAGTTATGCTTCTGGGGACAAGGAAGTTGTGGAGGAGATGAACATGGTGGATGCGTTTGGGCAGCTGAGCGTGGTGGCACTCAAGGTGCGGTGGGCAGCAGGCAAGGGCCAGGTGCCAAGTATGATAACGACAGCCTGCACACCCTTGTCTGTTTGATGACTGTAGCTGCTCAACTGGCTGAGCAAAGGCTTCCTGCCGTCTGCCCTGAGGCGGTGCAGGTTGTGGAGCAGCACCCTGACATGCCCGGCGCCGATGTGGCGGCCATGTACAGCGCCCTGTTGGGCTTCAGCGGCACAGGTGGGCGCCAATGAGCAGGAGCGGCAGGCCTTCCATTCTTTGATGACCACCGTGATGTGTGCGTGCTGCCCTTCCTGGCCCCTTTCTGTATGCTACCTGCACCAATTGGCCACAGATGTTCTTTCCTTGCAGTGTACCCCGACAAGCTGGACTTTGTGGACCGAGTGCTGCAGACCTGCCACAACGTGCATTGAGTTCCAGCTGGCAATATCTTGCCTGTTCACGCCACATACCACATGAGCCGAGTCACCTGCAGCCGTCCTCTGGCAGCATGCCACATTACTGCATGCCCCTCTACTGCTCTACAGGCCCTCCAGCGCCGCGGACCCATCACTGATGGCAAGGCCGAGAAGCAAGTGGTGGCGCTGCTATCCACGCCACTGGACAAGTACGATGCCGTCACGGGTGAGTGGGGATGGTAGTAAGTGCAAGGGCAAGCAGGCTTGTTTTGAGCAACGAAAATGCTCAACGGCGAGCAGAGGTGGAGCTGTTTCTGTACCATCACTGCCTGTTATCATGCCACTCAAACAGCCCGTCTACCTGCATGAACGTAGTGCTGGGACTGGCGCACTACCCCAGCGTCATGGAGCTGCTGCAACCGCGCATGAAGCGAGAGATGGCGACCAAGATTGTGCAGGTGCAGTGCGGCCGGCAGGCGATCAGAATGTACCAGAAGCTGACCTTTCCAAGATCACATCTATGATGCCAGGCTGGTCACCCACACGGTGCTTTGTCGTCCTGGCCCCCTTCTGCTTACAGACGCTGCTGAAAAGCGGCACCAAGGTGTCCACCGTTGGGCAGGTAGAAATGCTGTTCAGGTGAGTGGAGCAGCTGCTCCCTGATCTGATGTTTTTTCTCTTGCTGTCCCAGTCTTCGCTGACATTCCTGGCTGGGCCATTCCTAACTGCCGCCTGCAGCTTCATTGCGCCACTGGTTCGGGATGTGGAGGGGCTACAGGATGAGCTGGACGATGAGGCAAGTATGACATGGTCTGTAAAGCGGTGCAGGAACAAAGTTTGCCGCAAGCACACAGTTCCTTGCGCCGCTCATACTCCTTGCTGCCGGCGCGCGTCTGTCGCCTGCTGCAGGACATAGCGGAGGACCAGCAGCTGCTGGCGCGGCTGGTGCACAACATGCAGGCACTAGAAGGCGACGCGGATGGGCAGTATGATATGCTGGTGGCGACACAGGTGGGCATCGGTGCGCTCGCAACACTTCTCATTGTTTGCTGTTAGGAGTGGGTCTGACCGGGTCCCTGTATCCTCATCTTCACTCCAGCTTGTTTTGTCTTGCCAAGCTCTGTTCGCAGCCCACTGTCCCCTCACATGCAGGGTCACTTCCTGTCAGGAGGGCCCCATCGAATGCGGCACACACTGCCGCCGCTGGCCTTCAGTGCGCTCGCCACTGTGCGGCAGGTGGCTGCAGCTGAGATGGCGGGTAACACTCCGCGAGTGCCCTGTTCCCGGTGGTACCAGTTTCTGCACCAATCCGCTACCGAGCTGGCCAACGTGCCTGCTGCCGAGCTAGCACTGCAGCTCTTCCTCACCTGCGCCCACAGCGCCTCAGGTGCGGCGCAGGCACGGCACCTGTAACAGCTGCTTGTTTCATCATACCTTTTGGGGTTCAGTCGTGCCTTTTGGTGTGATGGACTGCGTTGAAGATCATCCCTCCAACTGCTTCTCACTCAGTTCGCCTGGATCTGCCTGCCTTGCAGAGGAGGCCACCCTGGATGTCACCGCATATGAGTTCTTTGAGCAGGCAGGCCGCTGATGCAGATTCTGCCTGGCAGCTGTTGTCTGCTCCCATCCTCCAGCCTTGCTCATTGGTTGGCCATTCGGCTGTGCAGGCCTTCATTCTGTACGAGGAGAGCATCCCGGACAGCCGGCAGGAGGTGCGGGCGTTGCAGAGCATCATGGGCACCCTCAACAGGCAAGTGGTTGCAGCATGGCACAGTATGGTGTGTGTGTGTGTGTGGGGGGGGGGGGGGTCGTAGGGCAGGGCAGCTGCTCCAATCTCCTTTCCTGGCAACAGGAGATTGTTGCTAGCAGCTGCTTTTTTTTTATTGACTTGCACGACAGCACAGCCCATGCGCCCGCTGGTCCTCTCCCTGCCCTCGTGCAGGTGTTATGTTTTTGGCGGCGACGAGCGCGCCGCCCTGGCGCACAAGGCCTCCTCTTACTGTGCTAAGCTGCTGAAGCGTACTGACCAGTGCCAAGCGGTGCTGGCCTGCAGCCACCTGTACTGGCAACCGCAAGTTGAGGTGCGTTCCCTGGGACTTGACATGCAGCGCCCTCCTGGAGTCACCAGCCGATGAGGCCACACTGGGCTAGGCCAGCTGGGCTACATTGCTTGCGAGATAGTACCAACTCGTTTATCCGCGGCATTGCTTTGCTTTGCCGTGGTGCAGGGCAAGCAGGCCGTGCAGGATGAGCAGGGGGTGCTTTCGTGCTTGAAGCGCGCGCTGAAGATTGCCAATGCGGCACAGCAGCAGCTGGCGGTGGCAGGGAAGCCGGCACGGGGCGCTGATGCATCGGCTGGCCCTGCCGCCGCCTCCTCCCTGTTTGTGGAGATCCTCAACCACTACCTCTACTTCTTCGACCAGGGTTGCCAGCTCATCACCACCGCAGTGTTGCAGGCAAGCAGCTTCTGTGCAAGCCTGGCGTGTGATTGGTGCTCGGGAGGTGGCGCGGTTGCCTGACTGGTGCCACTGCCCCTGCAGAGCCTGCTGGAACTGGTGGCCAATGAGATGGCGGCAGATGCCTGCAAGGACAACGAGGCGCTCCAGGTGCATGCAGAGCCTAGCTGCAATCGCCAGTCCGGTCGGAAAGCAGCGCGCCGCTCGAGCAGCATTATGCACTCCTGCTTGGCCTTCTGTCTGCAGGTATTCTACATCAACACGCTGGCGCACATCAAGCAGCAGAAAGCCAAGGGGGGCGAGGCATCGGCCAAGTACGACGGCCTGCAGCTGTGAACGAGCTGTGGGACACCCGCCATTGTTCTGTCATGCACCATCCGTCTTTTTTCCTCATAAATGTGACTTTTGACAGCTGACAACCCGGCCGCCGCTCCTCTGGCGCCAGCTGGGCGTCGCGCACATCATCTCTGCTGCGAACAGGGTAGCCCTCGTTTAGTCCCATCTCCCACGCGCTCTTTGCGTGACTACAGAGCCTTGCGCTGCGCCTTCTTGGCCGCTTTGTGGGGCCGTCTCTACTACCGGTTGCGCGACTTGGAGAGCCACCGCCGGGGTCAGCTAGTAGAAAATCGGGGGGAGCAACGTAACAATCCCGACTGGGGCTCCATGTTTGGTTCCCGCGCCCCCCGCCTGTTTCCCCCAAGCACCGTTGGGTTCCGCCAACAGACCTTCTTTCAGGCCTGGCACCCGCGCCACGCACTGGGTACGGTGGATACCAAGGCTAGCCAGGCCAGCAGCAGTGCGTGCGGTTGCAGCCACTGGGGATGTTGAGGCAGCGAGGAAACTCCGGGTTGGGCAGTGCACGGTGCTAGATATCCGGTGAGGCTTTGCATGCACCCGCAACCCACGTTGCACCCGCAATCCATGTACAACACAATTAGGTATCATGTAATTGCCTTAATGCCTGCAGGGCGGCGGGAGAGTACGAGGAAAGCCACATCACCAAGCCACCGCGCAAATCCTTGAACATGCCCTTTGCCGTGGGGCAGGAGGATGGTGCCGCCTTTGTGGCGCAGGTGGGGCTGCTGCCGCTAACAGCAGCATTTCCCGTGCCACTGCGTGCTGTTCAGGAGTGCCACTCATGCCTGTGTGCGACCCTGCCTGATGTCAACAGGTGTCTCGGCGGTTCCCGAACCGAGCCACCAATATTATTGTGGTAAGCTGCCAGCTGCGTGTAGAACCAGGCTGCTGTGTGCTGCCGGCCTGGGGGCTGCTTCCCGTGCTTGCCCTGGGTTGCCCCCAACAGTGACCATGGCACCTCCCTCTGCTTGCAGATGTGCGGCGACGGCGTGCAGGGCTCTGCAGAGGCGGCAGCATTGCTAGAGGCGGCGGGCTACTCTGGCGTGGCACAGATGGAGGGCGGCTATGTTGGCTACACACAGGTACCTGGTGGCCCATCCCGCGGGGTGCTCTGCTGCGGCCCGCAACAAGCCTGCATGGCTGGCAGAGATGCCAGAGAGTTGCGAGTGCTGTTGTCCGCCCGGGAGCTGGCGATTTGGCATCCCCTTCCTCACTGCCCAGAAGAGCCTACTGCATCTGATGCAGGTGTGGTCGCCCAGCGGCAAGCGGCGGCCGCCAGCTGGGCGCTGGGTCAGCACGGGTGAGTGGTGTGATGTGGCAACACTGTGCTGAAACACTGTCCGCTGCGTTTCGTCGAGCTCTGCTTGCATTGCGACTGCAGGCAAGGAAGCCCTCAAAAGCGGCCTGGATTTGAGGGACGTCGCGATGGCGTACGAAGAGGGTGGCAATATGAAGGTTGCGCGCTACGCAGAGGGCCTGCCGCCGGGGGAGTCGCTCTGACTTGTGCAGCACAAGTTGTGCTGCCTTCCCCAAGTTCTTGGCGCCGGCAGCGGTGGCGGCAGCGGCGCCAACAACGGCTGCTGCAGCGGCGCCGGCGCGGGTGGCTGAGATCCAGAGGCGAGCTGAGCGATCCAGAGGCGGCGGCTGAGCGATCCAGGCTGACCTGTACAAGCGTTGGCCTCTCAGTACGGCCGAAGCGTACTTTGTAAACATGCGCACCTCCGCTCTTCTTCGAGGGTGGGGTGGGGAGGGGGAGTGGCAGGGGGCGGCCACGGCGGCGGCAGCGGCAGCGGCGGCGCCGGCGCCGGTGGCGGGGACGCGGGCAGCGGCGGCCAAGAGGCGGCGGCTGATCGATCCAGGCTGACCTGCACCTATGTTCCCCCTCGTTTTACGCACGGGAGCCAGGGGATTAAGTGAAAACCCGTTTCCTCCCAGTACGGCCGAAGTACAAATCACGCGTATTCTCTTCTTCTTCTTGCGGCACCAGCAGCAGCTGCAGCGGCGGCGCCGGCGCAGGTGGCGGGGAGGCGGGCAGCGGCGGTCAAGAGGCGGCGGCTGATCGATCCAGGCTGACCTGCACCTTTGTTCCCCCTCGTTGTTTTTCACACGGGAGCCAGGGGCTTGACACCCCGTTTCCTCCCAGTACGGCCGAGGTACAAATCACGCGTCCCGCGTATTCTCTTCTTCTTCTTCTTCTTCTTCTTCTTCTTCTTCTTCTTCTTCTTCGTCTTCTTCTTCTTCTTCTTCTTCTTCTTCTTCTTCTTCTTCTTCTTCTTCTTCTTCTTCTTCTTCTTCTTCTTCTTCTTCTTCTTCTTCTTCTTCTTCTTCTTCTTCTTCGCTTGTGAGAGCGGCCCTCGTCGACATCTCGCACCCAATCCAACTCTCGCATCCAACACGATGCCGGCCAAGGTGAGCGAAGCCGCTGGGCTCCTTTGGGTGCCGATCGCATAACTGGTCCCAGTGGGTAACAGTTCAGTGCGCCCAGCGTCGCGGTCTCTGTCAAGTCCACTGCACTACTGCTGGTTTGGCATCGCCGATCGACGGGCTGATCAGCTGGCGGAGGGGTCAGACCACGCCAGTTTGTGTGCATTGGGCCCAGGGCGCGCCTGGGATGGGCAACGGGGATGTGGGTGGCGGGCGGGTGGGCAGGCGCCCAACCAGCAGCTGCCTGGTGTATTGTGCAGGTGGGCGACTCTCTCCCTGACATCAAGCTCGATCAACTGGAGGATGGTGAGATCAAGCAAGTCAGCTTGAAGCAGCTGTTTTCCAACAAGAAGGGAATTCTGTTTGGCGTTCCTGGCGCATTTACCCCCGGCTGCAGCAAGGTGGGAGGCGGGTGGGGGGCGGGGGGTGGGGGGATGGATCGTTGTTTTGTCGTCATCATCTGGGCAAGATACCTGTGCCCTGGCATGACCCCCCTTTACCCCCCTCCACACACACACACGCGCGCGCGCACGCGCGCGCGCGCACCCACACCACACACGACCCTACCGACCGCCCCATCCGCAGACGCACCTGCCTGGGTATGTGGCGGATCGTGAGAAGCTGAGGGAGGCGGGGGCAGAGGTGGTGGTGTGCGTGAGCGTGAACGACCCCTTCGTTGTTGGAGCCTGGGGAGAAGCCCACAATGCAGGCGGCAAGATAGTCATGCTGGCGGACACCAGGGTGCGCGGCTTGGGGGCATCTGGCATGAACGACGTGGTTGCCTGGCGCTCATGCTTGCCCACTAGGTCTCATGGGCGCTGTGCTGCGTCGCCCGCATCGAACCGTCGATGCTTCAACTGATGTCAACAGCTGATTTGACCCTCTTCCTGCCGCCTCCACGTGCAGGCAGAGCTGACCAAGGCCCTGGGCTTTGAGGCAGAGGGTTTGGCACAGGTGCTGGGCGGCCCTCGCACCAGGCGGTGAGTGGGAGGGGGGGCTGGTGCTTTCAGGTGCTGCCCCTAGCCTGCCTGTACTCCGAACCTCCCTTCTGACCTGTTCTCTGTTCCCCTCCGGACGTTGCCTGGTTGATTGCCCACCCCCCCCACCCCCTCCCCCCACCCCGTGCCGCAGCTTCTCCGCAGTGGTGGAGGATGGCGTGATCAAGTCGCTGAACCTGGAGGAGGGGGGCGGCATGACCTGCTCCCTGTCGAACCAGATCCTGTCGCAGCTGAAGCAGTGAGTGGCCTCCAGAGTGAGTGCAGGGTTTCACGGAAGGGGCGTCTTAGTGCAGCTGCCTGGCTGCCTGCTGGCGCGATGCCTAGTGTGGGCCGCTTTGCGTTGGGGAAACCAGACAGTGACAGCTTTTCGGCCAGCTTTCGGCCAGTGACATCCTTCTTCCACTCTGCTGCAGATTCTGGTGGCATGAACGTCACGAGCGGCAGCAGCAGGAGGAGCCAGAGACGTTTGATCCCATGCGCCGGCACTGGGGTTTCTGAACAGCAACTGAGGCTTTGTGATGCCGTTGCTCACCCCCGCTGGCATCATTTCGTTCTTGCTTCTGCCTACTTGCTCCCTGTATCAACTCGGTACCACTTTTGCATGCAAGGAAATATGCGTTGCCTGTTACATGTAATGCAGCCTTCTAGTGCAGCGCACTGGCTGCGTTGCAGCAGGAAAGGAGGACAATGCTTGCATGGGACCCGAGCACCGCTGGCCACTGCTAGCCCTCACTTGCGCCGCCGGTTGGTGGCAATGTGCTTGCGTTCGTTTGGGTTGTTCTTCCAGCCCGCCAGCAGCGCTGCGGCCCCCTTGCTGCCGTGGTGCATGCCGGCTGCCTGCACTCGTCGACGCATGTCCACGGCAGGCAACCAGGATTGAGGAGAGCTGGCCAGCGGGCAGAGGGTAGCGGGCACACCCACATTGCGTGCCCCACCATTGTGGCAAGCGCTCCCAACCGCCGTCCCACCTTGTGCCACGTGTCCTCGCCATACTCGGGGGCAAAGGGGTCCAGCTCCTCTTTCTCCTTCTTCTTGGCCCGCAGCCGGTGCGCCTTGGCCAGCAGCTGGTCCTCCCGCAGGATGAGGTCGTGGTGGCGACCGCCCTGGGTGGAGGAGGGGAGGAGCGATGCGGGCAAGGGATGTTTGGGAGAGCAGGGGGCCAGAACTGGCGGCAATCCTGGCTGGCAGCACGTTGTTGCGGCTCTCACCTTGGGTTTTGGCAGCGAGAAGCGCGTGCCACGCAAGATGTGCTTGCGCCGAACACCGTACTGCTCTGAGCCATCGGGTCCAACCACCAGCTACAGGCAACCCCAGCGCAGACGAGGCGGGGGCAGAGATTGATGGCGCTGGCCACCAGATGTCCTCGCACAGTCGCATTCTGCCAACACTCAGCGCAGGCCCTGCGGCAGCCAGAACCTACACTCGGCCTGCCGTGTGCTGACCTGCACTTTGTCGAGCGTAGCGTTGCCACAGCGCGGGCAGAATAGGCGTCCCATCTCCTTGGTTACCAAAAAGCAGGCAGTGCAGCGCAGCACCCAGCGGCTCAGCCGTGTGATGCGCCGGCCATCGGGCGTCACCAGGCGCAGCCCCATCTGAAACAGCGGGGCCAAGCAGGCGGGGTGACCCAGGGACGTTCAGGAAGGCGCCCAAACATCCACCCCAGGTGCGTTCCCATCGCGGCCACACTTGCTCACACCTGCATAATGACGTTCTGCATGGCGAAGTCGGCGGTGATGATGGAAATGTTGCTGTCAAACGGTCGCTGCTGCTGGCTGCCATCACCGTCCCGCTGCCCCGGCTGGCCGCTCTGTTGGTGCCGCGCCTCGTCGGCTGCAGGAGCTGCTGTGGCCGTGGTGGCGTCATCATCGCTGGCCAGAGAACAGGCATCCTCCTCTTCGCCCTCCTCCTCCTCGCCCTCGCTCTGCTCTCCCTCTTCTGCAGCCGCTGCATCCGCAGCCGCCTGCTGCCGTGCATGCCACGCCGCCTTCCGCACCACCCGGCGCCGCTCCCGCCGCTTGGAGCTGGCCGACTTGGCTGCCGTCTCCCACTCCCCTTCCTGCTCATCCTCCTCGCTCTCCCCAGAAGGCGCCTCGCCGTTGCTATCACCAGCATTCACTGCCGCCGCCGTCACCTCAGCATCATCCAGGCTGAGCTGCTGCACTGCGGTGCAGATATGGCTGGCTCCGGCATCGCCGCCACCCTGCATCAGCGCTGCCTCTGCTGCCGCGAGCTCCTCCTCATTCAGCCGGTCAATCTCCGCCCACTCACCACCCTCTACGCCCCATCCAGGCAGCTGCACCAGCGGGGGACGCGCGGCAATTACAACGCCACACAAAAAAACCTGTCGAAGGATGGTGCAGCTGCTCGAGCAGCGCTGCCCGCTCCTCCCAGCACCCCTGTGCGCACCTGCTTGGCATCGTGCACCTTCTTCTTCTGCACCTTTGGCAGCTCGGGCAGATCATGCAGATGACCACTGCCATGCGCCGCGACCTCCAGCCCATGCGCCAGCGCGATCAGGCGAATGTCGGCGGTGGAGAGGGCATGGATGTCGCCGGTGGCCCGCGCAAACTTGACCACTGCGGGCGGGGGACCGGGATGGTGGCAGCGCTTGTTGGCCGCAGCAGAGACCACCCAGTGACACACTTGATCCACCACTCTCCCCTAGACCTTGCCTGCTCTGATAGACTCGTCTGCCGACTCCTGCGTCTCAATAGCGAAGGGCAGCGCCGCCAGCGTCGCGCGAGACTGCGCGTCCCGCACCTCGCGCAGCACCTCGGGCGTGGTCACTACCTTGTCGGCCAGCGCCAGGCTCAGCAGGCCGTGCTGCGTAATGAGCGCGTTGGCGTCTATGACCGACACCCGCGTGTGCGAGCCGCCGGCAAGGGTGGGGGGCGCCTTGACGGCCTCCGTCTTGGCCACTGCAGCCCAGCTCATGCTAGACTGGGATGCTCAGGGAAGCAGCTGCAGGGTCAGCCCAGCCACATGCATGCAGCGGGCCACAAGCATGCACTGGGCAAAGATGTGTCAGTGAGCAGGTGCTTAAGTGCTTCGACGACGCGGGAAGGTGCACGCAAATTCTTGATAGCAAGGCTGCGCGCTTGCTATCAAGCACACTTGCAGGCCTTGCCACTTGGCGCCGACCTGCGGCTGTATCTGCTGCTGGCGCCTGTCCATTCTTGGGCAGGAGTCGGGCGAGTTGCAGCCATTGCCTGCTGGTGTCTGATGCGATGCTGGCACGAGATCACGCAGCAGCAATCAAGGCCAACCTTGCCGCATGCCGCCTTACGCGCCCAGGGAGTACGACATCCGTCGCGGCGCCTTGCTGGAGCGCGCCGAGTGAGAATGGCAGCAGGCAGGTTGTAACAATTCTATGACTGGGGGTCTCCTCTACGCACAGCGTGATTATAGTAGGGTGGGTAGGAAGGGAGACAAATGGCGGCTGGCACGAGGGCGGCGCCGCATCTATGGGTGGCCGAGCGCTGCTGCCGCGTGTGGTATCAACTTTTTCTGCCAGCATGATGCTGCAATTGATAAACACACAAGAATACGTGTTTGCAGCAAAGCAAGGTGACTAGGCTGCCGCGGCTAACCCTTGCAAATGGCGCCGCCGCCACGGCACCGCTCCGCAGCCTCCCACCCACCCGGGCGCGGTCCTGCCGTGTCTGGATCTTGTTTCTCCCGTCGGCAACGCCTCTTGAGTGTTTTGGGGGCGAGTTTCTGCAAGGCGAGGGGACACGCGTGGCAGGCCGTGGCAAAAGTCCCCCCAAGACCTGCCTCATCCTCTTCACATTGCCAGCCTGGGCACCACCTGCGCCATGGGCGCCGAACAGAGCGTTCCCGCCGGGGAGGCGGTGGCGGCGGCCGAGGGCCCGCCGCCGCGGGAGGAGGCTGTGCGCCCCTCTGCTCTCGTGATCGTGGGTCCCAGTGGCGTGGGCAAGGGCACCCTGATCAACCGGCTCATGGAAGCGGACAGGAGGTTTGGCTTCTCCTGCAGCCATACTACTCGGCCCCCGCGCGAGGGTGAACTGGTGAGAGAGGGCTCTGCTGTGGAGGGCATGCGGAGGGTGTGGGCCAGGCTTCAGAACGCCGCGGCGTGGGCCAGGTGCCGTCGCCGGCCGACCCCGCCCTCGTCGCCACTGTGCTCTTGCAGAATGGCGTCCACTATCACTTCACCACGCATGAGGCCATGGAGGCCGACATTGTAGCCGGCAAGTTTCTGGAGCATGCACACGTGCACAAGAACATCTATGGCACCTCCATCCAGGCGGTGCACGACGTGGCGACTGCGGGCCGCTGCTGCGTGCTGGACATTGATGTGCAAGGCGCGCGTCAGGTGGGTGCATGGCTTGGACAGTGGAAACGGCCAGCACAGCAAGCAAGGGCTGCCTGCGTGGCAGGTGGCGTGACTGACACTTTGTCCGCTGCTGGCTGCCTGGTGGCCCAATTGTGCGGCTCAAATCACTCCGCCTCTGTTCAATCCCCCATGCATGCTAGCCTCTGACCGGCACGTGCTGCCCCTTGCGCTGCAGGTGCGCAAGGCAGGCCTCAAAGCCATTTTTGTGTTCATCGCGCCACCCAGTCTGGCGGAGCTGGAGCAGCGGCTGCGTGGCCGTGCCACTGGTGAGCAGAGCACACACATGGCCTGGCCACTGGTGCCTACTCGTGCAGGCGGTGGCGGCAGCAGTACATGCTGTTTGCCATCCAGAAACAGCAATAGTTGAGCTCTTGGTGCTGCTGGAGTGGAGAAATTGATCGCTTTTGCCAACCTGTCCCCTGCTATTTCCTGGCTGGCCGCCTCCTCTGCAGACAGTGAGGAGCAGATCACGACCCGGCTGCGCAACGCGCAGGAGGAGCTGGAGAGCGCAAAGGAGCCGGGGCTGTACGATTACATTATTATCAACAGTGATCTGGATGAGGCTTACCACCAGCTAGCATCTGTGGCCCGGAGTGCGTTGGCAGGCGAGGTCGGCGGCCCGGAGGGGAGTGCCGGCACTGGCACGGCACCAGCGGCTGCAGCGGCTGGGGCTGCCGCCGTGACAGCGGGTGCGGCTGCCGCGGCAGCACCGGGTGCAGAGCCTGGGTCAGGCGGCAGTGGTGGCACCAGTGGTAGCAGAGGCACCACCCAGGGTCGAAGCAGCCCTGGTGCTGTCGCGCTCAACTCAGCAGCCACCTTTAAGGGCTGGCTGCAGCCCACTGCTGATGGGCAGTTGCAGATTGGTTCACCACCGGCTGACCAGGTGCGTTGAGTAGCAACCTGCTGCATAGCTGGCAGGCTGTTGACATCAAGAAGCACCTTGGGGTAGCAGGCGTTGCCCTGTTATCTTGATTTCAAGTTGCACTTGCTCCTTGGTGCCTGGCATGCAGGTTCCATTCCCAGCAGCAGCAGCAGCAGCGGCGTCGTATGGCTGGGAGCGGCAGCGTGGCCGCGTGGCGCTTGTCACTGGCGCTGGCTCGGGCGTGGGGTGGGAATTGGCCACCTCGCTGGCAGTCGCAGGGTTGCGTGTTGTGGCAGTGAGCCGGCGTAAGGCACAGGTGCCTCGGCTGCTGAGGATGATGCGGCACTGAGTGTGGAATGCCGCATGTGCTGCCGGTGCAACCATTAATGTGTCATGTTTCTGCTGTCTGTCTTATGTGTAATGCCCACCTCACCCAGCACCTTTCCCGTACAGCCTGTCATTATAGTATCTCACATGCCTGCACCTGTGCCCGCCCTCTTGCTGCCACCTACAGTTGGAGAAGCTGCAGCAGGCAGTGCTGGACGCGGGCGTGCCAGCTGGCGAGTTTCTGCCTGTGGTGGCTGATTTGACCAAGGAGGCAGAGGTGGCGGCGCTGCCGCGCATCGTGGCCAAGCGCTGGCCCGGTGCTGGCATTGACCTGTTAATCAACAACGCAGGTGTGTGGGCTCGCGAGACTGGTGGTTTTGATGGTGGCAAGTGGGGCTGCTGAACAATCGCCGGCCGGGCCTAGGCTTGGGAGGAACTCGGCCCCAACACTTGGTTTCCCGCCGTTTGCTCACGTGCAGCTGTGTCACGCACGGATGCGTCACTGATGAGCGGCAGCACAGCTGCCTGGGTGGAGACTGTGAGCACAAACGTGCTGGGCACCGCGTTGGCCACGCGCGAGGCAGTGCAGGCAAGTCACTGGTTCAGCGTGGACGTGCCCAGACACGAAGGTGCCCGGCGGACTGGGTTGCTGCGCCATGGCGTTCGTCTGACTGATGGGCTTTACTCTCTTTTGTGGTGCAGAGCATGGAGGAGCGGCAGCACTGGGGCAACATCATCAACATCTGCTGTGCCGAGGAGGGCAGTGGCATGCATGCTGCCACCAAGCAGGCTGTGTGTGCCATGGCGCAAGAGCTCAGGTGGGCGGCAGCAGGTTACAACAGCAGCAAGCTGAGGTCAGCGGGCTGGCTGACAGATCAATGCGGGACCCAGCCTGGCTGTTGCCGCCCTTTGAGCCTGCAGGCTAGAGGCCCGATCTCGTGGTGTGCCGCTGCGTGTCAGCACCATTACGCCCACCGCATTAAACTCTTATTTTTTTCGGACCCGAGCCGGCCGCGACAAGACGCGGTCCAGCAGCGGGGCGGCAGCAGGCGAGGAGGGTGGCAGCGCGGATTCAGCGGCCGAGAGCGAGCAGCAGCAAGGTGCAGGCAGCCCGCAGCAGCCTGGCGGCATGCTGCATGCCACAGATGTCGTGCAGGCAGTGTTTTGGTGCCTCTCAGCGCCCGAGCATGTTGACGTGAGCTCGATCACGGTCCGCTCGCTTTTTGCATGATCAGCGCTTGTGCGTCTCCTCTTCTCTTCTCGGTGCCATACCTCCTCCTCCAATTCACGCTCATTCAATCTCATTCTCGACCTGATCACCCTGGGGTCGACTTGTCCACGCAGGCTTTTGATGGATGGGGGGACATCAGTGTATGGCCGAATGCTCTCTGCCTGGCTCTCCTCTGTGTGAACAATCACGGTTTCAGTGCAACTGCTTCAGTGTAATAGATGGATCAAAAGAAGTCGACAGCAAGGATTCAGACACGTGTCACCATCGCCAAAATCCAAAGGCGGGGGAAAACGAAAGGACGCGACACTTCACGCTTCGTAAAGCACATACACAAACACGCTTGAAAACACGAGCGCTTGAAAACACGAGCGCTCTTCAGAGTTGCAGATCTATGCATGTCAGAGTGGGGCCTAGGAGTGCGTCGATTCCATTGATTCCCAGGTAAGCTGTTAGATTGCGATGTCCTGATAGCACACCGCCGCAAGTCCAAGGCCCAAGCCCCGACCGTGTTTGCTGTGGTGCCTTACTATAAAAGTCGATGCCGCACCCTGATGCACGCTCTAGATCAATACATGCATGCGCCCAGGAAGAGGTCCAGCGCCGGCACTGCCGGCCGGGCCGCCGCTTTGGCGCCCCTCAAAGCTCAGTTGAGATGTTAATTGTTTCCTAGCACTCGTGACTTACTTTTCTCCCTGCTCCTGGCTGGCACAGCCTGTCCGTATCTGGCCAAGCTTGCAGAGCTTGCATCGAGCATTTTCACCCATGGACGCGGCGAGGGCAGTCCTTCTGGCACTGACACTGGCGCTGGCAGCCCGTGCCAGTGCGGATTACAGCGGCACCAATGTGGGCCTGAGACCAGTCCGACTGGTTGCGTTTGATAGGGTCCACTACTTTCAGTTGGCAGAGGACTCAATCGGCACTGTGGTGTTCTTCCATGGCTGCGCTCGCAGCGCCAGGAACTTTTGGCCCTTCGACCCGGAACTGTGCCCCACCTGCATTGGTGAGCACCCCATGGTCCAAGCGCTGGCAGCCAGGCACATGCATGATGGCAATGGGAACCAGCACAGAGTTCCCTCGCTCCCTCAAGTCCCAGGCCCTCCCCTCTGCAGGCTTTCCGGAGCATGTGAGCCATACCAAGCAGGCACTTGCGCGGGGCTACTCCGTGCTTGCCCTTGAACCTCGAGATCCTCGTGTATACTGCTGGAGCTCCAGCGTGAAGAGCCGCTACTCAAATGACCAGCCATATGTGAGCAGCAGCAACTCTCGTTCTCTCGATGGAATGCCCATCTGCCTGGCTGCTGATGGTTGGTTGTCAATGCAGCCAGCATGCATCTTGCCACTGCAACAGCCGCCCTGTCCCTTCTCCTCCAGCCACCAGGCATTGAGGTGCAGCAATCACAGTAGAATGCCTGGCCGTGCGTCGCAGGTGATCCGTATTGTGACCAAGTTTTTGCTGGACCATGGTCTCACCGGCAAGCCGGTTTACCTGTGGGGCGCCTCCAGCGGTGGCACCCTTGCGCTCAAGCTGCCCGGCGCGCTGCAGGTGGCCGCCAAGCAGGCCAAGGAGGGCGAGTACACGCTCAAGGTGGATGGCATCATTTCAGGTGCGCCCTGACTGGCCGCCTCATGGTAAATGCTGGAAGGTTCTCCTGGGCATGGCCATGGCAGTGGGTCATTTTTCCATGCGGCTATGCCCTGACAAGCTTGGGGCGTGACTCCCAGCTGCTAGCTTCCTGTGCGCAGAGGTGTCGACGCCCACAGACTTCGCCGATGACGGCAATGGCAATCTTGCAGTGCGCCCCTTTCCGCCGACCGTTTTTGTGCGCATGCCGGTGCGCGGTGCAGCCACCGCAGTACGAGTCGACGCCCTGACACATCCTCTCGCTTGTACATGTGGGCTTCACTCACTGTTCTCTGCCTCCGCCGATTGCAGCGCGATGGCAGCGATGCGGATGCCGCGAAGATTTTGAGGTTCCTCAGAGATAATGGCATGCGTGCAGACGTCGTCATGGTGAGCAAGCAGGGCTAGGCATTGCCAGTCATGTTGTTGCTGTGCACCAATGCTCTCTCCAACTGCGCATCCTCTCGTGCCCACCCACTGTCTGCAGTCCCCTGCGCGGCGCATCACGCCCAGTTTCTTTTCTGACCGCTCCTCCGTCATCACGCCCCAGGAGTCCCAGCTCATTGTGCAGGGGCTGCGCCAGATTGGCATGCTAAACGCCAACGGATGGCTGACGGCTGACCCGCATGATAACAACGATCCGCAGTCGCGTGCATTCAAGTGGACGACCCGGCTGCAGGCCCTGGTTCCCTCGCTGACTCCGACCAGCAAGACGCTGTCACTGGTGCTGCGCCTCAGCCCCATCCAGCAGGCTGTAATGGTGGCCTATGGCCGTCATGATGCGGTGTCAGGCGAGTATCTAGACTGCCAAGCTCAAGCAGCCAGCTTGCTGAGATGCCCATCAGGTATCGTGCTGGGTGGCCTCACTTGTGTCCCCCTGCATGCCTGCCCTTTACAGACTACTTCACGGCGTGCCTGGCATGGCTGGAGTCCAAGGGCACCGCCGACCTGCAGGGGCTGGTGGCCAGGTGGCAGGTGCCCGATGGCAACCTGGCTGCCCTGACACCAAACCGGTACAACCATGGCGGCTCCGACCCCACACCCAGTGATGGCGGCAATGACCCGGTGGACCAGCCGCCTGAGCAAGAGGACAATCCGAGACAGCCTCCGCAGGAGCAGGACATCAATTGGGACAATACAGATGAGGTGGATGCCGCTGCTGCCCACGACAACGAGCCCGCGAAGACCACCTGGGATGTCTCATGGTGAACCCCATCTGTTTAGCGACTGTGCTTGAACACCATTACACTCATTGACATCAACAGGCAACCTTATTGCCACGAACCACCCAGACCCTTGTTTCATAGCCTGATCTGTCCCGATTTGTTCCAAACGGTTATACTTTCAAAAGAGCACATTAACTCACCATCTCCTACTCCCAATAACTTATAGATCCCCCTCCCAGCAGGTTGTTAGTCCCGACAGGCTGCCTTCACACGGTGCAACGCCGCTTGACCCCTCCATTTTGCACAGAGAATTAGGGAGCCAGCAAAGTGATTTGTAAGATGTCGTGAACAGGCAGCATGCATGCGGGTTTGATTCTATGTTCATTGGCAGTTGCTAGGCGGCAGCGCAGGCCGACCTTCCCTCAGATGTAGGCCACCCCTCGATCAAGCTGAAAGCGAGGTTGGCTCTTGCTGCTTCTTAGACCGCTACCTTGATGCATCTGTCAACTGCCGCGAGCTACTTGTAGTGGCCTCAGTCAAATGGCGGATGCTCTGCGGGAAGCGGCAGGCCACCTGCCAAGTCAGGGCTGGCTCCAGGCTCAACCATTGCTCCTAGTAGTTGCTGCGCTGTGCTCGCTGCATCGCATCCTCCTCCTGTAGCAACTAAGTGGTTGGACAGATGACAGGTGCTGACTCAATCGACCTGGGAGGCCCAGGCGCGCACACATCAAGAAGGGTGGTGCATGTGGGCCATGCGTGTCTCTGCTGACTGTTCCAGCTCAGCCATGTGCGTGGCCTTCCTGCGGGAACAGCGTGCAACAACAGTCGCAGATCGGAGCGGGCCGAGAATGCGCATGTTGCTGCCTGGCTGTCCAGACGCAGGGCACCGGCAAGGCGGGCAACAGCTCAGGCTTGCCTGTGTGCTTCTTCCGCTGATTGAGCAGTGTGGAGGTCTGCCGATGCCACGCCTTTCTTTGGCTGCTCCAGGTCATCAGCGAGGCGCTCCACCTGCGAGCAGTCAGTGGTCGGACCAGATCGGCACACGTCATGTTGCATGCTGCATGATGCAGCGGATGGCAATATTGCAAGGAACATGCCTGTGCATGAATCTCTGGAGTGGGAGGCATGCTGGCGCCAAAGCAGCTCTCCAAATCCTGCAGCCATCAGCAGCCAGGTGCATGGGCTTATAAGATGAGAAAACAAAGGATCCAAGGCATTAAACACGGACATCACACAAGACTCACAGCGGCGCCTTGAGCTCGGCGCTTGACCTCCAGCGCCTCTGTCGCCTTCTCACTGGCACGCTGCATCAGCGCCTCGGCGCCCTGCATAACGGGTAGCCCGTACATGCACAGCACACGTAGCGGAAGCAGTGGAGAGCCTGGTGCGGAGCTCACCTTGGCCACTGCCTCTGCTTGCCTCTCCAGGTGCTCAGCCCTGGCATGCATGAAGCTAGAGTTGCGGCGAGCCTGAATGAATGTGCTTCTGGTGGTCTCCACATGGTGCACAGCCTGCTCCGCTTGTGGGAAACGCAGCTCTGCACGTGCCGCCCGCTCATCTGCCCGCTCGCTGAGGGAGAGCGCCTTGCAGCAAGCAAGCGGCAAGGAAACAGCAAGACGAGTAAACAATCGCAACACAATTCTTCTTTCGGTTACAACACCCACTAAGCTACACACCCCACCTCTGCTTTCAGCTGTCGCCGGCGCTCCTCCAGCTGCGTCGCAACCCAAAGCTTCTCCTCTGCAGCCTGTACGGAGGGGGCCGCAGGGCATGGGTAGACAACCAGCATAGTTGACCTGCTTCTCAGGAAGAACACCAGCCACCAACCTTCTGATCCTTCCTTGCTTCCTGGATTTCTCCCGCCAGCTGCGCCTCCAGCGCATCTGCCACTCGGTTCAGCTGCGATGGGCAACAGACAGAGGAGCACAAGGTGCCTGCTGGGAAAAAGCATCCTCACTGCCTGGCAAAAGGGCAGCCAATGGCGCAATGCCAGTGTGAATCCCACCTCCTGTTCCTCTACCTCCAGTTTCATCACTTGCTCCTGCTTCTTGCTGGCCAGAGCTGCATGTCCGATGCCGCATGTCAGATGCCGCCACTCAACTTTGAATGAACAGGGTACCAGCAGAGCAGTAGCAGCAGCGGCTTGCAAGCTTGGCGACGCCCCACCATGACAATGTCCATGCCAACCACCCCAGCCCCACCTTGTAGGTGCTCCGCCTCTTTGGCCAGGTAGAAAGCCTTGGCCTCGGAGCGCTTGGCCTCCTCCTCCAGGTCAGCGGCGTGCCGAACCAGTCGAGTGGCGTGCTGCAGCAGCAGCATGCGCTGCCCACCGTGCGGTGGTGGACTCCTGCAGCAGGTGCAACAGGCAGAAGCAACAGGCAGGGGACCATCAAGACAAGTATGTGACACACTTGCTATGCAAATTTCATTTCATGCAGAACCGCCAATGATAGCCCCCCAAACAGGGCAGACCTTGGCGAACCACGCGGAGCCCGTGGCACCTCTGCCGCCAGCTCCTGCTGCAGCCTTACGCCGTGGTTCTGAAGGCAGTCGGAGCGGTCCAGCATGACATTGTGCGCATCGCGCTTCTCCTGTTCAACCTTAGCCACCAACTTGGCGCACACTCTGGCCTCCTGCACAGAATACCCAATCAAACACTTGCCAGCATACCTGCACCGCCGGGGCTGCCTCATCTCGTTTGGGCGCCGCAATGCGCGCAGGCGGGCACAGTTCTGGCTCCGCAGCGACGCCATGGGAGGGTGCTGTGGCCTCGGACCAGCTTAGGCTGTCTGGGCCTTTTAGTTTGGTGGCGGTCACGCGCCTGCAGGAATATAAGACAGAGGCCCATTAACCAGGCGGCGCCAATGCGGGGCAGCACCCGCCAGACCTTGGGCCTTGCTGCATAGTGGCTGCTGACTGCAGGACGTGATCACAGGAGAGAAATTGGTAGGGTTTGCTGCACACTGGGCAGCTTGAGACGGTTGGGGAACCTAGGTTAGCGAGCTAGGTGTCGATTGAGCATGAGACACAAGCCAGGCTTGTGCTTGGTCTGCTGCCAAGGGGCGCAGCACAGCGCGCTGCCGCGGGAGGCGGTACACCACCAGCAGGCCTGCCTCCCCAATCGCTCTCTCCTCAGGAAGCAGCTGATGCTGTGATCTTCGTGCCATACCAGCACGTGCGACCGCTGACAGCAGGTCTGCCCTATGGGGGCTTGAGGTTGCCCTCCGCAGGGCGGAGGGGTTGGTCTGCCTACAGCTCTGGTCGCATGTGGCCGCCTACATATGGAGCGCCGCGGCTGCCGCCCTGAGTGGCAGGGACGCGGTGCCACGGGGCGTTGGGAGGCAGCGAGGGGCAGCGGGCGCCATGTGCACGCCGCACGGAGTACCGTGCCGGCTGGCACGGCGATGCCAGCTACCCTATGGAGGTTTGACACGCGACGGCCAGCACTGCGGGGACGGTGCACTGACGGTGCACTGCCGGTGCACTGCCGCTCGCCGAGCGGCATTGAATGCACCGCTGGGGAGCGGCGGCGACTATGCCGCTTGGGAGCGGCAGCCAGCAGTTGTGGGACGGCCGACGACAGTCAGCATGCTGGGGAGCAGCCGGTGGCTGCGCAGCGAGGCGGCAGTGACGGCTCAGGTAGAGCGCAGTGCTGGCGGCGGCACTGCCTTCTTCTTTCTGAGCGGCGCTGGATGGCGCCCCCAACAGATGGTTGTGCTGACTAACGGGCTTTCCTTGACTCAACTCACAACAAGCTTAGGTTCTGTTGCAAAACAGCACGAAGGCCCAAATCACTGCGCTGCCGCCATTGCTGCTGCCGCCGCCGCCGCCGCCGCGCCCACTGTGGCATGCACCACCCTTGCGCCGGCCACGCCCACTGCCGGCTTCGTGGGTGAGAGCTGGCTCAGAAGCAGGGGCACGTGCAGCAGCGGCAGCTGCTGGTCGGGAAGGATGCCCAGCTGCCCAGCAACCTCCTCCAGCCGGGACCCCGGGGTGCCAATGTCCACATCTTCTGCCTCCTCATCTTCCTGGTTGCTCTCTGCCAACGCCAAAGCAATGCAAGCAACAACAGCATGGGAGTAGGCTCACCGCTGCTCATCCTTCCCCTCCCAGAACTCGCTGCCCCTCCTTGAGCCGGCGCAAGCAAGCATCTCACAATGGCCTGCAGCATGGCTGAGCAGCTCACCGGCTTGCTCCATCTGCTGCTGCAGATGCTCGTCCTGGGGGTGCGGGTTCATGTCAAACTCGTCCTCCGGTTCCACATATTCACTGCGCTAGGCAGCAAGTCATGCCAGACAGGCAGATCATCGGCTTAGCAAGCAGGAAGCCACAACAGCAGGACAAAGGAGGACGTCATCCATGACTCTGCACCCGGCCCGTTGCGCTTCCCTCACTTATTGCTGGTCAGCTCAGCAAAGTCGGGCGCAAAGGCGCTCCAATTCTCGGTGAAGGCCTGTGTGGCATGGGAGTGGAGGGCATAGAATGTGTCGGGACCACTGCGGACACCATTGGATGGCAGCAGTACTCGGCCGACACCCACGCCTCTGCCTCCGAATGCCAGCTTGCCCAACCCACCTTCGCCCAGATGTAGACGCTGCCAAGCGTGCCCAGGGCCAGCAGCTGCATGGGGGTGGAGTTGGGGTGCCAGCATAGCGCCAGGACGCCGTCCCTGGAAGGATGGACCCATGACGCCGGCAGCGGCGCTCGGGTAGCTGTTGGTGCCAGAGCAAGGCAGGCAGCCAACAGGGCATTGCAGGCAGGGCATTGCAGCAACCACCAGCGGCACCATCACCACGCTCCCAGCGCCATCTGCTGTTGCGCACCCATGCTATCCGCACCTGGTGTCCTGCCCTTCCAGAACAGCATTCATGCGCGCTTCCGCCTCTGCCTCCCATAGATAAACTACATGCCCGCCGCCATCAAAGGCAGACGCAAAGTACTCGCCATCTGGAAGGGGAGTGAGCCAGGGGGCTGCATCAGGAGCCAGCTAGCCAGGGGTGTGGCCTGTTTTGCTGGATAGGTGGCGAACAGCAGCAGCCACAGCTTCCTCAGGACATGGTCAAGTGGCAGGCAGGCAGCGGGAACTGTGGTACCAGCTCTCTCAGTCTCCGCAGCAGCCTTGCACCTGGTGAGAAGGCGGCGCACTTCCACTGCCGCCTCGCGTTCTCATGGGCAAAGTCGAGGAGCCCAGTCAACCAAGCGGCGTCGTTGTCGTAGAAAACCGAGTTGCGACTGCGGGATAACGTCGCTGTTGTCGCCACGGCACGCCGCGCCTCCTCCATGTTGCGCACCCGCCAATCCCCTGGCGCCTGCGCTTTGGCCTGCGATGCCGTGGTGCTAGACCAGGCACCGTTGGCGGCGCTGCTGCACATGGCGCGTGCCAGGCGCTGCTGCTCGCGCAGCGGTTGGCGGTCGCCGGGGCGGTGTAGCAGGAAGATGCGGATGTGGTGGTCGGCGGCGGTCACCATCAGCCTCCTGCCAGAGTTGTTTAGCTCCAGCCCGAGGATGCGTGTCCCACCTTCGCCCACCTGCACTTGCAGACAAGCAGCAGGAATGAGAAAGGGACAATGCGCCCGATGCCGAGACTCGCCTCTCCTCAGTGACAGGTCCAAGCGGCCTTGCCAGGAGGCCTTCCTGGGCACCATTATGCACCACAGCAGGTCCACTCAAACCGTGTGCAGGCCATGCCCAGCCACACCTTGACCACATCCAGCAGCGCAAGGTCGGCCCGCCGAAGGACCATCACTGCGCCCCGCGTGCCGGCGTAGATGATGGCACCATCGTGCGATGTTATCGCCACCTGGCCACTGGTCCCGGCGGCATTGCTGCCACTGCTGCTGCTGCTGGGCTGCTTGGCGTCACCATCTGCAAGCATGGGGCCGGGGTGGAAGGGTGGCGGCATAGCCAGATGCGCAGCATTAAGCATGCCAAGGTGTTGCAATTCACGCCAGCCGGGCCCGCACAGTTGCCGCCTGTGCGACATGAGCAAGCGCGCTGCACTGCGGCAGGGCAGGCGCCAGCATCTGAAGCACACCTATGCAGACCATCGGCAACTGCTGCAGATGGCCGTCGCTTTGGCGCAGCAGTACTGCAGGGCCACCCTCCCTGCTAACCAGCACCTCATCCTCCGGACCCTGCTGCTGCTGCCTGTGACCACGGCCACTGCATGCCCAGGCCAGGTGCGAAATGGCACCAGCGCTGGGCAGCTGCAGCCGCTGCCGCACCCGCCCGCTGGCCACATCCCATGCGACGACACAGCCGCCGTCGTGCCCGCCTGACAGCAGGGTGCGGCCATCTCCACTCCACAGGAGGGCGGTGACGGCTGTCTGGTCAGGATGGCCTCCCTCCAGGGTGCTGGCCATGCCACGAGTTTGGTAGTCGTAGAGAGCCACGGAGCCGTTCAGGCACCCGGCTGCCAGTAACGTGCCCCACCGGTTGAAGGCCAGGCAGGAGGCGATTGCGCCACTCAGCTGCTCTTCCACCCGCTCTGGCAGCCCCACCAGGTCCTCCACATCTGAGTAGGCGGGCGAGCGGCGGGGTTGAAGACAGAGGGGCAGCAGCGGTCAGCGTGCAGCAGGCGGCGTTGTTGTGTGGCGGGAGTGGCAGGAGACGGCGGCGCAGCGGCCTGCGGGCCCTGCTCATACCCATCAGCCGGCCGGCAGACATTTTCAAACAGCCAACGCCCTGCCAAGGGCGTCGCGATGGTCTCCACAGGTGATCAGTCCGTGCAATAGTGAATGAACCCCACCAATCAGTCTTTCGATAACACGCAACCACAGGCCTGGTGGGATCGAGCAGGGCCTGCACAAGTGCATCCACCAGCAGGACAAGAAGGACACCTTTTCGCGCCCACCTGCCCGATCCTGGGGGAGCACCGGACGGCGTCCAGCGAGACTGCAGACTTGCCTGGTGCCGGGTTGAGCTTGCTGGGCAGCCAAGTCGCGCCCCGCGGCTTTTTCTGCACAATCAGAAGCTGGTGGGACCCCAGTGGGAGAAGCGGGAGGACAAATGGCGAGCGGATTTGGCATCCATGGAGGGCCTGGCCGGTGGGTGCAGGTGCCGCCCTGTGCAGAGGTGGCTGGCGTGGGAACAGGCGGCGTTGGCTTTAGGACGGCTGTGGGTGTGGAGCAGGCATCCTGCTCACCCCTGCCCTGTGCCTGTATCCCCAGATGCTACCCCATCTGGATGGACTTTTCGGAGTGCATGTCCAAAACGGAAGACCCCAAGAAGTGCGCAGACTTTAGGGACGACTACCTGGAGTGCCTCCACCACCGCAAAGAGGTGCGACCCACGGCGGCGGCATGTCAACGCTGGTCCGACGCTGTGCGTTTTGCGCATTTTGGCCGACATTTTCAGCCGCGATTGCCGTGACCATCCCCTGCCTGCTGCCCGCACCCTGGCCCTGCAGTTCACCAAATTGAATAGGTTCTTTAGAGAAGAGAAGCGGCAGCGGGAGGGCG